GAGCACACTGTGCAAAGCACTTGGAGGGTCCTCCTGTTAATGCAGAAGTGCTTTAGCCTCCACTTCCCTGCATATTGTCTCTCTGGAGTAGGGCATCCTGTGCATACCTAATTGCCTGTGTAATGCCTCAGAGTGTTGTCACACACCCACTTCGAAAAAGCAAATGGAAACTAGTAGCTCTTAATAGCAGATTTTTCCCCTTGACATCCTGAAAGAATTTAGATCAGATCAAGCACGGAGGAAAAAGAAGAAAGGCTTCAGGAATAAGCAAAAAGGAGAGGGGGTTAGAGCTGTGATTTGTTAAAGCTGAGGATAATTTTAGAACTGGGTTTGGAAGTCCTTGCTCATAATCCTGTTATAACCTCTCCCCTTCTCCCTTATAAAATAATTGCCATAAATTGCATATTCTCATGTCCACAGTGTTACTACATGAATTGAAGACTTGCAGTGTTTTTTAAAAGCTGGAGTGCACGATGTGGATGGGAAGTTCCTGCTGGAGCTTGGCACACCACGTGTGGGTCTGTGTGATGTGCTGGTGAAGTGCCCCCGTGCTGGACCCACTCAGGGCACAGTGGGAAGCATCCCAAGGCCAGGGCTGGTTCTGTGGGCAGAGCCTGTCACCTCCCGTGGGTCTGCTCCAGCAGGGGCTGCCTGGCTGTTCCACACCCTCCCCACTGGCTTCTGACAGGCTGCTTTCTGTGGGGTGGGCTTTAAACAATCCCCACTTTAACAGCTTTCACTGGGTCAGCTGGCTAAGTTAATTCTTCCTGGAATTCAGTCATAGTATCATATTTCTATTTTGTAATCATATTTTCTCAGTTTTAAGTGCCCTTTTATCTGGTTTGCTTCAGCTTTCTGCCTGGGATGTGTGCATCTTCTGTCGATCTCAGTTGGAAGATCTCAGAATATCCCAAGGATCTGATACTTGTGATTTCTTCTCTTTTGTGTCTGTGTTTATAAATATGTCTAATTTATGCTTCTCTACTACAGCAGTATGCTAACTATAGAAGTGTATTTTTAAAGAAGGCACCATTTATGTGACTTTAACCCCTGAACTACTACTATACTTAATTTTCAGACAGTGATTTTGATCTCCTTCCCAGATGTTTTGGGCACAGTAATTATTAGAATTATTTTCATCATTGGCAAAGGACAATTGAAGGACACTATCAACAAATAATTTTGTTTGCATTTCAATTAAAGCTGTACACTTACTGCATTACATTTATCACTAGATATTACAATAATAATATTGAAAGACAATAATGCTCTCAGTTGTGCTTTACTTGTGCAAAACTTTTGAACCTGCTGCATGACCTCTGAGCATGTCAGAGTCAGAACTTGGTTACCTCTGTAAGAAATGTATGTACTCACCTGAGAACTCTTGGAGTGTGTTTAGCAGCAGACATAATTCAGGATCTTGGGAAAATGCTCCCAAGTTTGCATCTACAAGGAAACAAAAGTATTGTCCACATTGGTGTGAAGCAGCTTATCAAATGCACCTAAACAAATTAAAAAACCTGTAGTCCTTGGATAATAATATCTGCAAGAGTTTTCATATCATATTTTTCATAGGGAAGATTGAAATTAGACTTCCAAAAAAATTAGTATGACAGCTCTTCCTAATTTATTTATTTGCACTGAATTTTTAGTAAAAGTGAAGTGTGCACCAGGAATGCATAGGCATAGGAAGTGGTAAAATTCCAGGGACCTTTATTTCATTTGTCTCTGGTTCCTGGCATATTCAAGGTTTGTGGAGTTTTGAGGCAGAATTTATTTTATTACTACTACAGAGCCTCAGACTGAAATCTTCCATCATACCCTATGAGACAAAGGCCTTGGCTCAAGCAGAGAACTTGCTGCTGGAGCTTGGTGTGTGACTGCAGCCCAGTGACTGCTGGAATTGCTGCCACGGAGGGGAGTGAGGGATCTGCTGCTCCTCCTTCAGCTCAGGCATTAATGATGCTGCTGCCTCACTTCAGCAGGCAGCCATCTCATTATCTCTGGGAAGTCTCCTCTGCCCTTTTCCTTTCCCGTTCTTCTTTCTCCAAGTTTAGCAAGTAATTAAAAGAGTACAGTGGCTGAGGAGTGAAAACGGAATTTTTCCAAATGCTGTTCCTTGTAAAATGTAATACATCACCCACACATCCCAGGGCAGTGATTGAAGATCTCCTCACATTTGTCTTACTTGAGATTTAAGCAAAATCATCTGCTGAGCATTTCAGTCTATCCATGTGCATTACAATCCATCCAGGCTCCCTGAAAAGAAAAATGGGAAAATAAGACATGGTTAATGTCCCGGGCTTTATGTGGAGAGAAGAGATTTAACTGGGGCATTAGAGACAGAGGCTCCAGTCTATCTCCTGACAGAGAGCTAATTAGCATTGTGAGCCTGTCCTTTTGGTAAGTGTCTCGGATTGTCTCAGCCTTGGAAGAGCTCTGGCTGGAGCACCAGTGCAGGGAGCTGGGGCTGCCTGGCTGTGGCACTGCCTGGGGCTGCAGCGTGTCCTGGCAGGGCAGGAGCTCCTCCTGGAGCCCACCCAGAACCCAGGCCATGCTTTGGCACAGCCACAGGTGAACAGAAGTTGTGCAGAGCTGCTCCTTACAACCACTGTCTCTCCACTTCACTCTTCCTCTTCCTGCAGTACCATGTGGAAGTAAGGAAATTGCTTTACTCTCTAAAGAAAGAAAAAAGAAACAAGTATTTTTATGTAGCAAAAATTTTTGTATTAATATGTATTTTGAAAACCTACACAGCACAGAGCAGATCTGTTTTAGTATCTCAGCTCTGCTGTATGAAGCAATCAAGAAGCCAATCCTACACCTGTATCCAGGCAGCTGCTAAATCTCCTATTATTAACTTCACCTTTTTTGATTTTTTTTTTTTTTTTTACATGCAGAATTCTGGCATCTAAACATGTCTTCTGCCTTTATTGAGTTTGACATACTGCAATTTCTCTCAAAATTAAGGCTTTGGGATCCCTGTTCACATACCAGGTTTCAACAAAAGGCTTCATAAAACAGCTGGCTTTAAAAGCTGAATGATTGTCAGATGAGAAATGATTTGTACTTGAAACAGTCATAGAAGGTGAAGTTAGTAGTGACTAATTTTCTGGTTATGCCAAAAAATATTTCGGCAAATCACTGGAATCCAAAAAATCTAGCATTTAATCTTTATTCACATTACTGAGACTGGTTTTTCTGTCAAATAACTGCTGGATACTATTGCAAACAAAAGGCTTGCTTTTTAAAACAACTTTAAAATAAAGCACAAATTCCTTGTATTTGAAAAACCATGTTTCCTGTTTTCCTTGTGCCTCTGTATATCATCTTTGCAGATGCTGAATTTTAGTGAGGTATAAATAGATAACTTGGTTAACAAGTATACAAAAGGCTAAATTAACTTTTAAATCTAGTACATTTTAATTTCATTTTTTAATGTTGTTACTGAGAAACCAAAATGATGAAAATGCAGTGAATGTTCTGTGGATTAGGCCTGGCTATAGGTGACAGGTCTGAAACTGGTTGTAGGCAGGAGGTGCTACTGAGCAGGATGCTATGTATTCATCTTTGTCCTAAAATTAGTCAGGGGTTTTTATGAGCAGTCTGAAAGCAAATGTAAATAGGGAGAGCAGGATGTTTGAAAGCAGAGATATGCACTGGCTATACTGGAAAAAAAATATTAAGGAAATACATTTTGTTTATAATGTACAGCTGTAAACTGGGAATAAAAGATTGTAGGCCAGGCTTGCCTGATTGCACGGAGAGAAGTGAAGCTGCTCAAAAGCTTGTGGAAGGCATGAGCACATCATTGTCATGAGTTGTGGCTCATGACAACAGAGGGCAGTGCCCAGCCTCCAGGTGTGCAGGATGTGCTGCAGCAGCAGTGCAAGGGTTGTTCTGCTTTGTCCCACTGTGGAACACTGCGCTGTCTTTGCAGAGCAGCGGCCCAGGGCTGCTGCTGACAGCTCACAGGTGGCACTGGGGGTTACAGGTTTGGGCAGCTTCGTTTCCAGAGAAGGCCAGAGAGCTCCTTTTATTCATATTTGTATTTGAAAGTAGCAAAGTAGAAGTAGAAGTGCTGCTGAAGTCTGGGGGAACGCGATGAGTAAGGCAGTGCTGATGGCTGTCGTGGTTGCCGTGGCAATCCTTGGCCACCGGTTGGGATGCCATCCCTGTTTATGTAACCATCACAGAACATATGCCCCCACCACTAATTGAGCCAAGGCTGAGCCCAGAACTTTGAAATCTGCCATATCTCTTTTTTTCAGTGTGAGTTGCAGGGTTAAGCACTACAGAGTGTGGAACCTCCTGTGGGACCGTCCCGGGAACCCCTGGCAGGACCTTCCCTTCCTGGGCTGTGTCCTGAGCAGTTCCCCCCGCGGGGGCTGTGGTGGTGTCCCCTGGCCAGTCCTGCCCCCGAGCCCAGGGGCTGAGGGGCAGCAGGGGCAGAGCTTTGCTGCGGCTGTGCCGCTCGCTGCTGCGGCTGCTGGCTCACACTGCTTCCCGGTATAAACAATTTACTTCCAAATGCCTCAATGTTGCACAGGGCAGGAATAAACCTCCCTCAAGACCCTCCAAGAGAGCTGGTAATAGCAGCCTGCCCCATTTCACTCGGAATGCCGGTGACAAAAGGTAATTGCCCTGGGCTTGGTGTGGTTTCTGGTGTGGGCTTGTAGCAGCCCAGTTTGCTAATAAAGTATTCTGTCATAAAAATCTCGTTTGAAAGGCAAGGAATTCAGATGAGTGTGGTTCTGCTTTTACCTTCAGACCCCTGTGGACTGGTATTGAGTCATCTCAGCAGTACAAGAGTAGAAAATTCACATTGTGTTTTTTTCTGGCTACAAAAGGCTTCTCATTCTCAGGATTCTGTCAAGCACAAGTAGCAAAATTTGTGTCTGGCAATCAGCTCCTTTAAGAAAACATTTCTATCTGTAAAGAAGAAGCAAAGAAAGAGAATTGAACGTTGGTGGTGATTTTCTTTCTCTTTCCTTTGCTAGAGCTCGTTTCCGTGCTTCAGCGTTGTTTCCTGCTGTGTGTGCCCCAGGAGCGAGCGCTGGCCGGGCCGGAGCCGCCGTTCCAGGTGAGCAGCCGGAGCAGCTCCCGGGGAGCCGGGCCGGGCTCAGCCACCTCTGCTGGGCAGTGAGGGCAGGGATTGCCTGCCTGCAGCAGCCCGCTCCTCATTCCTGCTGCCCCTTGCTCCTCCTTCAGCACTGGCTAAAAATTATAGTGGTATACACACTTGATAGGTATAAACATCTGTCTGTGAAAATGCAGGGTATTTCTTCTCTCATGGAGTAAATTGAGCAAATTCCCCAGCTGCAAAAACCAGTCATTGACTGTAAACATAAAAACTAACACAGGATTTCTGTTGCATTTCCTTTCTGATTGTGTCCTTGATTATATTTAATGGTGCCTTCACTGCATAGTTCTCCATGTGTGGAGTATTTTAAAGTATGGAATCAAATTTTGGGAACTAAAATAAATTACTGGGGTTTTGTTGGGGCTTTTTCCAGCCCTACATCTTGTCTCTTTTGGTAGGCTAAAAAGCTGATGACTGTGAGATGCCCTGGGTTTGGCTGTTGGTCCTTTTCAGTCCCTGTGGAGGGAAGGGGCTGCACACAGAGTCCCCACATGTGCCTGGAACACTGGGATGTTTGGACTGGCAGGCACAACACTTAATCATCAGAATAAGGAAAAAGTCAATTTTTATTATGTATGCTAAAAGCATCCAATGCCAGTGCCTCCTAATTCCTTTTCTGAATTTCATCTATGCTGGTGCTTTTTATCCCTAATAACATTCTTATCAGTGGTGGCTTGCCATTTTATGGGGATGGATTTTAGGCAAAGCATAAGTAGAATAAGCAAAGAAATTATCTGTTGTAAACTTCAACACTAGTAAACATTAATATCTTTAACCTTTTGACTTGGAGCTCATCACTCATTTCATTGCTGTGGCTTACGACTGCAGATTAAAATTTCTTGCATTCATCTTGCTTGCTGAAGTAGCTTATTGGGATGAATAAATGGCAGCCTAATTAGAAGAGTAGCCTGAGTGAGAATAAGCTGCTGGAACCAGCTTTGATGGTCAAAAAATTACCTGTAGCTAGTTTCTCAAGATTATCAAAGAGGCCCTCAAATTAGAATGTCTGTCTTTGATCATAGATGTGAGGAATGAGGCAAAATGAGTGCACCAAGCAGATGGCAGTGGGAGGAGATGGTTGCTGTGGATTGGGAAACTGGAGGAGTTTTTACAAAGATTCAGGCCCTTTCCAGGCACTGCTCTACCACATAGTGAATGAGATAGCAGTATAGGGCTTCTTTTTATTTCTGTTTTCCACCATAAAATAGTAATGTATGCGTCGTCAAAAGTTAAACTGATTAGGTTATTTTTAGAGAAAAATCCCTCTTCTATCATTCCTCTGTAACCTTACCCTGACTTTTCTAACCTGTAGTGTGACAAGCTTCAAACAGAACTAATCTTTAGTAATTTCTTTCCACCTGGCTTCCTTACCTGGCTGATTCCCACTGCCTGACCTGGCTGTGGCTGTGGGTTTGTCCAGATCCCTGCAAGACCTGTGGCTGTGACAGTCCCAGAGGCACCTGACAGCCTGAGCCCCAGCTGCCCAGTGTCAAACGTGAAGTCACAAAAGGTAGAAATGGGATGGCCCAGGACTGAGTTACAAGTATGGGACAGAGTGACAAGGTGTGGGAGGAGAGAGAAAGGCCTGACCTTCCCAGTGGGAGAGGATGGGATGTCAGGGTTCCTGCACCACAGGTTGTTGTGCTGGTTCAAGCTAAAACCACTGAAAAAGCAGGATCTGGTAAGAGGAGGAGCAGTCAGGCCCAGCCCCCAGCAGTGCCTGCCCTTCACCCTGCCCAGACTGCTCCAGGGGCCAGCATGGGAACAATCTGGGAATGAGCAAATCCTCTGCTCTACTGAAATGGTTAATGCTGGTTTCAAGCTCTGAAATGGGGAGCTTTGGGTTCACCCCACCTCGTACAAGTGTCATGGCTCATCCCAGGTATAAATGTCTGGTTGTTCCTCTGAATCCATTGACCCCTTGATCTCAGTGCCAGCTTCTTTCAGGAAGTGTTTTGTGTGGAATAATTTTCTTTTAGGAGATGTAAATATACTGCATTGGGTTTATTGTCTTTTTTTTTTCGAGATAGACACTAAATGGGAACACCCAGTCTGTCTTTTTTATGTGACGGATCATTTAATGTACTATTACATTATTTTATTTGTCTCAGTTCTGAACTAAACTATCCTAATCTTTTTGTTTCACTGAAGGGATGAAAAGCTTTCCATATTAAAATATTTTTGTGGCTGTTTTATGCAGCATTTCTTCCTGAGGTGTCATATGCATAGAACTGAGTGCAATACTCAGTAAATCATGTCATTGATTTTCTCACACAGAAAGCATGTAATCTGCTGGTTGCCTGCCTTTGCTGTGACACCATTTGCATGCCCTGCCATTAGGAATTGGAGAGAACTTCTTAAAAGCTTAAAATAAAATTGTGCCATTTCTCTTTTGCCCATGGTTTGGTAGGAAGAGCAGGTTTCCTTCCCAGAAGTGATGATAAAGAGCAGGTCCCTTCACCATGTGCTGAACTGATGCCTGGTTCTGATAAGGAACTAATTTTGCATGGCTCAGCCACTTGGTTCCTGAATTTCTCCACAATTCTTGGCTCTGCACAGTCCAGCCCTGCTGTGCTGTTGCTGTAATTTATCAGTTATTTTTAATACCTCATTTTTTAATAATGGCTCATAGTGGTTCATTCTTAAACCTAATCCTGCCAAGTCTTTATTTAATGACTCCTGGTGGTTCCCAGGGGGGACTGGGACCACTGGAGGGTGCCCACTGTGCTGCAGCCTCAGCGTTGTAGCTGTTCCTATCCTGGCTGTGAGCCAGCCCCTCCCTCCTGAGTTACCTGCCATTACTCTTCAATGTGTCTTTGGTTCCTTTGGTTTAGTCAGTTCTTCCCCATCCTTTCCAATGCTGTTTTGTATTTTGATATCCACAAGTTATTTGCTAAACTGAAATGGGGGTTTTGGGGGGTTTGGGGGGTTGGCACTTGTGGGTTTTGTTGCCTCAGGTGTTTAACACTCAGATCCTTGGAGCCAGGGCCTGCAGGAGTGCAAGGGAGACAGGTTGAAGCAAACAGAAGTTGCAGAATTGCTGGACTCCACAATCCAGGATGATCCACCCTGTTTTCCTTCTCAAGCTGTGCTCAGCAGAAGGATAACCACAACTGTTCCCAGGTCTCTGACTATAAAAGCACTGTAATGTTTCTCAGGTATTGCTTTTTTGTTTGTTGTGAGCAGACTCTGGAGAGGTTTGGTAAAGTTCATTCTCCTCTACAAGTGTTTGCATGTGCTTAAACAAAAGGAAAAAAAACATCAAATGGCAGAATTTCAAGTGAGCCCGGGAAGGGTAAATCAAAGATAATTAGATTGGTCAAGATACAGTCATACCTTTAAAATGCTGTGAAGGACTTAATTCTCAGTTTTCTTTAAATAAAGTATGGAGAAACTGAAATGCACTGGAATTGGGGATACTTTTTTGAAATTGTAATTATTGTGATTTTTTTCCTGTCAGCTGATAGGCTTACCTGTACTTTGCTAAATCTTAGAATGTTGTACAGCCATTTTCAAAAAGCACACAAATTATAGTTTGGGTTGCATCACTTTTTTAAAAGTAGAAAATAAAAGCAATTTTCCACGTAAATAAAAAAGCATTCCTAAAGAATATACTGTGCTGCTGTGTCTGAGCGATCATCATTATAAGAATTTTTATATATCTAAACGGACCAAATAAATTTAGATTTTATTAATACTAAATGATGATTTCTTTTTCCAAAAGGAAAAAATCTCCAGTTAAGAATGTCAAGAATTCTTATTATTGGGATTCATAAGAGTGCCTATTCAAATACCTGCCTTGGCTGTCCCGTTGGGCCTCAGCACCAAAGGGCAGAGCTTGGCCTTGTTACAGCTCTGTGTGTTCCCATGTGGTGATGCAGAATCTATCCAGAGTACCTGGGCAGGTCCCAAGGATATTCCTTACCTTTTCCTTGCTCTGTGGCATTACCTCTTTGGGTTGTGTCAATTGCAGAGAAATGTCCATTTTCTTCTGAAGCATCCCAGATTGTCCAGCCCTGGGCAGGTTTTTTCTCCAGTTCCTTGGTTATTTCTATAATCTTTTATCCTTGCAAGTTTTAGGGAGGAAAAAAGCCCATATTTAAGGTTTTTCTCAATTAATTAGTATTATGAAAGACTTATGTAATTTGAGCTCTTTTTGAAGGAGAAAAAATACGGTGTGAAACAGTCAAACAGGAAAAAAAAAACCCTATCTGCAGCAAGATAAAACTTCTTTTTTAACAAAAGTGGTAATGCCCAGCATTTATGGAAATGTCCATCTGTGCTCTCTGCCAGAGTCAGAGCTCTGGCTTGGTACTGCAGTGAGCTGATATTTAGCAAATATCCTTCACTTTGGGAATAAAGTTGTGCCACCCCAAAGTGCTTCTTGCATTCTTTAGTTCCTTGGGTTTTCCTGGCACACCCTGAGTGAAGGGAGTGCTGAACACTCTCTGGGAGCATTCCCACAGCCCACTGCCCCCCAGGCAGGACCTGCACCAGTGTCGGTTTTTAAAACAGTCTCTTGAAATGTTTATGATTACATTAAAATTTAAAAGAAACAGAAATCAAATCCTGGCAGAGAATAGCCATCCATTTTTCCCTGCTGTGTGAGACTTGCACTGCTGTTTATGATGATCAGTGACTGTCCACATGCCTCTAAGTGGTTCAGACAAACCACAAAGCCCTGGTGGTTTTGTGGCCTTTGGGCACTCCCATATAGGAAGCCCAGGTTGAATTCCCACTGCTGATTTTGTCAGTCTGAGGACAGGCCTGGCAGTGGGGAGAGGTTTGTGGTTGTGCAGCAGCCCTGACTGGACTGGTGCCAAAGAAGGTTGATCAATGCAGTTTATTCTGCAGCATAAAAATTGCAGCCCCATTGTCAGGGCCAGCAGCACTAAAGGTAAATGGATTTTCCCTGGAGGAGGACAAACCAAAGGAAACCTGTGCCAGGATGTGGTGATCCCAGAGGAGACCAGAGGGTGCTGATTGCAGCTCAGGAAAGTCCTGGCCTTTCAGTGGGGGGAGATTTTTGCAGCACACAGCATTGCAAACACATGTCTAATAGGTACATTCATTTTCATATGCTCATTCATTGAGCAGGCCTGATTAATTAGTGCGTGTCACCATCTGGTACTTACCGAGACTATTCATTTTTAAAATGTTGAAATTGTAGGGAATGTTGCACACCAATTAAGTTCTTTTTAATTGGATTATTTTAGTATAAAGTATTACTGGAGAAGGCCTTCATTGTGATTCAGCCAGCATGCATCCAAAGGAGACCTGCCAGCCTGAAATTACCTAGAACAAAGGCAAAATGCCTGAAATGCATGTTTATTACTATCTTCATGCACTCAGCAAAGATGATGTCAACAAATAAAAGCACCACAGAGACATTTCTGCATTGCTGTGCAAGCTTCCTGACTCGAGGCTATCTCAGCTGATCCCTGCTTCATCTTTGTCCTGCAACTCCAGATCTGTCATCGTCTCCCTCTGACCTGAGAACTGAAATATGCTTTTGCCTTCCTGACTGCTTGATGCCAGCTCAACAGGGCCAGGCTGAGCCTTCCTCTGCACAGCTCTACCTGCTGGAATGAGGAGCATTAATCTCATATACACAAAGAATGATTTGGCCTTTAAGATTGATAAATTATCTGTGCTGACTCAGCCATTTAGTGAATGTAGTGTCACGATCTTCTGTTGGGAGCAGAAGTTGTCTGTCTGTACTTGCTCCTGACACTGACTCACTGGTGAATTTTAGTTCCTTAACGTCACTGCACTGCAGTGGTTCCCTGTATAAATTGTGAATAGTTCTGTTTACCAACTTACATAAAAGGCGTTGAGATACAGGGATGAAATGCAGACTGCTGATGTCACGTATTTGCTATTAATACTTTATTTACAAGCCTGATGCAGTTTTGTAAGTACCATCTTGTCATTGCCTTGATTTTGCGTAGATTGAGCATCTTCAAATAAGTTTTGTCATCTGAGCTGCTCATTTGAGAAGAACCAGGAGCTCTGCAGGGTGCACATTCCTGTTCTTTAGCAGGTACATGGAGTGTCAGTGGAAGCAGGGAAGGTAGGGAAGAAAAGACACTTGCAGCTGGAGAGATCTGAGGTGTGACTGCCTGGATCTCTCATTGCCCTGTTTTGTTTTGGAGACAGTGCAGGAATCCAGCAACGAACAGTGTCAGGATGATTTTTTCCTTGCCTTTGTGTGTATTTTCAGTCCCTTCGTTGGCCTCTGCTGCCCCCTGCCAAGCTGCAGCTGGAGACAGACATAGAAGCAACAGCCTACTGAAATATTTCATTTCTCTTATCATTCCTAATTACTCTCACCATAATTATCACACATAATAGAGAATCTGTAGTTTAAAAAGTCATTCTTTTTAAAGGAGAGGAAAGCAGCAGAAAGATTGCTTTTGGTTGTTCACCAAGGAAGAAACTGACTTTTTTTTTTAAGAATGCAAATGCTTGCTTCAGCATCTAAAGGTCACTGTGGATTTAATTTGAAATAGCGTAGGAGTGCTTCTGATTTCAAAGTACAAAAGTAGCACAGTGTTGGAATTGTTTTGGTTGTTTTCTTAAGATCCATTTCCTCTAGTTGGAAGGTGGCTGTTTCCTCTGTGGTGCAGCTGCAGGCAGTGTCAGGGCCTGTGACAGGAACTGCTCGTCCTGCTGTGCCCGAGCCAGTTGCAAACCCAGCTGGGGTTCACAGAGCCAGGGAGTCAGTGGCTCTTCTGTTCCCGAGTGTCACAAATCATCCTGGGGGTCAGGGCTGTGTTCAAACCAGTTCTATTGGCTGTTGGAGACCAAAAGTGCTGAAATAGCTACACATATATACTTGTATATACTCTGTGTCCGGGTTCCACATCTGCATTTCCACAATCACCAGGTGTGTGATTGCTGAGGCAAAGTGCTGCAGGCAGCACTGCTGGCACACGAGGGTGTTCTGGGATGGAGCACAGAGCTGTAGTTGTTACTCTCTGGAGAACTGTGGTTCTGCTGAGTTTCCTGTAGTTCCCATTCTCAGGTTGAGTGTAACCCTTCTCTGGCTTAGAGGAAGTGCCAGCATCAGTGTCAGAGCAAAGGAGAGTGGCCAGTGTGTTGTGCCAGAGGCAGTGGTGTCACCACATCAGGATGTAGCCCTGGGCAGGTGGGTGCTGCAGAGCTTCCTCAGTGCCCCCCTGGTCCTGGCAGGAATTGCCTAGAACACCATGAAGCTGCCTGCCTTGTGATGGGATTCTAGAGCAAGTACAGCTTATGCAATTTCAGAGAAATAAGACCACACGGATAAATCATTAAACCCACACACAAGCACTAACCCTTTTGTTTATATTGGTTGTTCAAAGCTTTTATGTGATGGAGAAATATATTTTTCAAGAAATCATTTCATTTAGATTCCCATTAGTGTAACTTTACTCCTTCTATTTTTTAAACATACGAAAAGAGGGAGCCAGCCAGAGTATTAAATTCTTGTACATGCTCTCTCTCTGGTTTTAGGAAAACTATTTATCAATGTAGTTTTTCTGCTTACAATATTTGGCCTTGCAAGGTGTTGAAGCAACAAAACTTGAGAGAGATCAAGAAACATACAAAGGCATTTTACTCTGTAAATGCAAGATAAAGTCTAAAAGTTTGGGCAGATCTCAGTCTGGCAGAGTTTCTCTCTCTTAGGTCATACAGAGAAAGCTTTTGGCAGTGGCTTTTTGGCAAAAAGCTTTGTCTGGAAACATATTTAGTCAGCATATGAAATGTGATAGCCCTGGTAGTACGGCTGTGTCTGCAGGCACTAATAGAGTTAGGCTTCAGCCCCATCTGCTGTTGGATCGGGATCGCTCTGTTGGTTTGCCAGCACAGGACAGCCCTTGCCAAAACACAGAGCAGGACGTGAGGAGACTGACAAGCCCCTCCCGGTGTCAGCTCTCCTAATGATCCTGTTGTTTGCCATGCCATGAAAGCCAGTGGTGCCCGGAGAATTCCAGCACAGCCTCTGCTGCTGGGCTCTGCTGGGCTCTGTGGGAGCTGCAGCTGGACCTGCAGCGGGTCAGCACTGCCCTCTTGGCGTCCCTGGGTGAGCAGTGAGGGTATTTGCACCCCAAATATCCTCACTGATTTCCAGCACCTGTGTTTGCAGAAGAGCGGTGAACGTAGAGATCCTTTCACCTCAGTAAAATGTCTCCGATAATTTGAGTTATGCAACAGTGACGAAGAGAACAGACTTGCGGATTTGCCTCAGAAGGCTTAAAATCTTCAGGCATTAATTCATGAAACACTCAAATCCTGGATACTCTGGTGACTATAAAGCGCAGCAGATTCGTGTTTGATTTTTACTTAAGGCTGATTGTTTCAGGAAATGAAAAGATTCACTTTGAACAAGATTTTCAGTTCTTCAGTTGTTATTTCTGGAGGGGTTAGGTAGAAAAGCTACATGTGGAACAAATCAGGGACTAAAAATCCTTAGCTTTGTTTTGAGGATATCAGAATGGTTTGTTGACATTATGGTAAGCAAAAGGAGAAAGGACAGTGACTTTCTAGAAAGATTTCCACTGTATTGTTATCTGACTTTTCCAGGACATCAGAACAGCCTATGTGTTCAGCCAAAATACCTCTCCAGTATTTTCATTTGACTCTGATGAAAAAAGTACTAAAATGGCAGAGTTTGGGATTGCTTGAACACATTTTCTCACTTAAGCTGAGCTTGTTCACATTCAAAGCTAGAACAAATTATCCCAATTGCAATTAGGAGAATAAACATACTCTTGCTTTTCTATCTCATGTTTGAGTAGTTATGGTGAAAGCGTAATGTGTGGTAATCTTTGGGTTTATATCCTCTTCCCGCATTTGTTTTATTGGACAAAATTAAAGGCCAATGGCCCTGAACTAGTCAAGCGAATTACTCTAAATTCTCAGTCATTGCCATTTTCCCCTCCCTCTGCTTTAAGTAACATAGGACTCAGCTGCCAAAGTTTTAATTCTTTATGTATGAGAAGAATAATAGCTGGAATTTGGTTTTGCATTTCAGTTACATAGTTTTGTAAATGAAGACAACAGCAAAAGGCTACTTGCTCCTTCCACATTATCCCTAGTGTGAAAAACATAATGATCAAGCAGATTTTTCCCCATTCTCATCCTTTCTGTGTTTCATGTTCTTCTAGCATGATCACTACTCGAGGAAGTGTCTGTGCTGGGTGAGCAGAGCGGAGCCCCATGGATGAGACTCCTGCCATGCACTGAGCACCGAGCCGCAGGCGCCGAGCTCTGGGAAAATGTCTGCTTGCAACACTTTCACTGAGCACGTGTGGAAACCCGGTGAATGTAAGAACTGCTTCAAGCCCAAGAGCTTGCACCAGCTACCCCCAGTGTCAGAAAAGAAGCCCCTCTCGCATGGAAACCTGAAACCCAATGCAAACCAGAGCAGCAGCCAGCGTGGCAGGTTCCGGCCGCCCGTGGCCAAGAAGCCGACGATAGCTGTGAAACCCACCATGATGGTGGCCGACGGGCTCTGCGGGGAGCTGGCCACGCTGGAGCAGTGCGAGAACAAAGCCCTGCCCGCGGGGTGGAACCGCAACAAGGCGGTGCTGAACAAAAAACCACTGAACAACAACAATGAGGAGGAGATCGAGGGCTACAGCCATGTTCCTAGGCCTTACGGCAACAGCGAGGGCGTGGGTAAGGTACCCAGTAACAATAATAATGGACTGACAGAAGTTCTGAAGGAGATTGCAGGTTTGGATACCACACCTCAGCTCACTGGAAATGAAACAAACTCCAGAGAAACCTTCTTGGGAAGGATAAATAATTGTTACAAAAGATCATTAGAAAGGAAGATCCCTCCGAGCTGCATGGTGGCTGGAATGAAGGATTCACAGAGTAAGCATGTTATTCTGAGTGGAAGCACTGAAGTCATAAGTAATGAAGGTGGACGTTTCTGTTATCCAGAGTTGTCTAGTGGAGATGAGAGTGAGGATGACACGTTTTTTGGCAGCATGCAGGAAGAGCACGAGAGCTGGGATGAAAGTGATGAAGAGCTGTTAGCAATGGAAATCCGGATGAGGGGCCAACCTCGCTTTGCTAATTTCAGAGCTAACACCCTGTCTCCTGTTCCGTTTTGTGTTGACAAAAAATGGAATACCGTGCCCCTTCGGAACAAGTCTCTCCAGCGGATCTGTGCCGTGGATTACGATGACAGTTATGATGAAATTTTGAATGGTTACGGGGAAGAGACTGTGATTCTTTATGGGCAAGAGAGCATGCAGAGCATGGTATCTTCTGATTCTACATCTCCTGATTCTTCTTTGACGGAAGAGTCTCGTTCTGGGACAACCAGCAGTTCTTCCCAGAAGCTCTGTAATGGAGGCTTATCTCCTAGCACTCCTCAGGACCTCAAAGTAATTGAACCAGAATATGAAAGTCTATGTGACAATCAACAAGTGAAAGATGTGCCAAAAGCACCCAGAAATGCTCTGAAAAGTCAGGAAACTCACAAAGCTGTCCTTGCGCTTCGCCTGGAGGAGAAGGATGGCAAAATTGCTGTGCAGACTGATACGCAGGAGAATAAAAGTTCTTCAGATGCTGCTGGTCAGGCCGTAACTATTAATTTGGTGCCTGTGGAGGAGCAAGCTAAGCCTTACAGGGTGGTGAACATGGAACAACCAGTGTGCAAGCCATACACCGTAGTGGATGTATCAGCTGCCATGACCAGTGAATGTAAAGAGAATCAGACTGAAACCTCAGAAACCAAAAAGGCATCATCTAGCCCAAGCTCACCAGTAACCCCAGGCACACCTATTGCATCCTCTGCAGCATCACCTGTACGTGTACACGCTAATCTGAAAAAATCCAGCGCAATCAGATACCAAGAAGTGTGGACTTCTAGCACTAGTCCAAGACAGAAGATACCTAAGGTGGAACTGATTGGAAACAGCTCAGGACCTTCTGTTCCTCCCAGGAAGACAAGCCACAAGTCAGCTCCTACTTCACCTACAGCTACAAACGTTTCTTCGAAAACTATCCCAGTTAAGTCTCCCAATTTGTCTGAGATAAAATTCAACAGTTACAACAATGCTGGCATGCCACCTTTCCCTATTATCATTCATGATGAGCCCACTTACGCTAGGAGTTCCAAAAATGCTATTAAAGTTCCTATTGTAATCAATCCAAATGCATATGATAACTTGGCAATCTATAAAAGTTTTCTAGGGACCACTGGGGAGCTCTCTGTCAAAGATAAAACTACAAGTGTGATAAGCCATACCTATGAAGAAATAGAAACTGAAAGTAAAGGCACCGAAGCCATAGGCAGCAAATCCACTGAGTTGCCCCAAGCAAGAGGGGTGGCCAGTAGCTCTGAGTGCAGGCTGGGCTCTGTGGCTCAAAAGGTCCAAGAGTTCAACAGCTGCCTCACTAAAAGCCAGATATCCCCACAGAGAAGCCACAGTGCTGACCACAGCTCCCCATCCAGAGTTCAAAAGGCAATGCAAGAGCCTGCAGCAAAAGCAGACATAACCCCAGATGGTTCCATTGGCAGCAGTGGTGGCAGAGAGAATGCGAGCACAGTGCTCTCACAGATTGTGGCTTCTATCCAGCCTCCACAGTCTCCTCCAGAAACGCCTCAGTCTGCTCCCAAGTCCTGTAGTGTAGAAGAACTGTATTCCTTACCCCCTGAGGGAGATGCTACTAAAAACACCCTGGTACGACCCAAATCTCTGTTTACATCACAGCCTGAAGTGGAGTCCTCCAAGATGGAAAGCACTGCCATTAAAATGCAGAAAGATCCACTTTCACAGCCAGCTGCCACTCCCTCTCCAAAGCCAGCGCGAGCCACCCCGAGTGCCGTGAGTCCCCAGGCAGAGCAGGCACCGCCATTCCCCCCTCCACGCTCCACCTCCTCTCCCTACCATGCCAGTAACTTGCTGCAAAGGCATTTCAGCAGTTGGGCCAAACCCAACAGCCCCACCAGGTCGACAGAAGCCGAGTCCATCCTGCACTCGGAGGGGCGGCGTCCCGACGCGAAACCCAAACGCTGGATATCGTTCAAGAGCTTCTTCCGCCGCAGGAAAGCTGACGATGAGGAGGAGAGAGAGAAGGAGAGGGAGAAAGGGAAGCTGGTGGGTCTGGATGGAACTGTTATACACATGCTCCCCCCGCCTCCAGTGCAGCGGCACCACTGGTTCAGCGAGGCCAAGTCGGACTCCAGCGAGAAGCCCTCGATCGTTTTCATGTACAGGTGCGACCCGGCACAGGGGGAGCCGAGGGCTGAGCTCCCACACCAGGCTGGGCTGGACTCTGCTATCGCAGAGGCACTGGCAAAGGACAAGGGAGAAACGCAGGAAAAGCCTCCAGAGAGCTCGGAACAAAACATTGCCGGCCATTCCTCACCACCTCAGGCTCCCAAGAAAATCCCCAGGTACCACTCAGCTGTTTTAGTCACTTACTCTGTTCTGAACTGTCCTGTATACGTTGCTGAAAAGGGAGAGACTAGGGAGTTTTATTATATTAATGCAATTTTTTCAAAGTATATTTATTTTAGGTAACTTAGAGTGTGTTTTAAAATCTTCCTGTTTTGTTAGATACCAGAAAAGATGCAAAACATTTACTAGAAGCAGTACCTGATATGTAGAGTCTGTCTTGCAGGCTCACAAACATCTCACAATAGCCATGTTCCATTGGATCACATCCATTCTCTTGAATTTCTACTTCAAGAATGTGTTTCTGTGTTATGGGAAACTTCAGAATTTCTCAGCAGACATAGGAGGAAACTCTCGTGAAGTACAATAGAAATTAAAAGATCTGTGACTCACGGATGGTGTTGTGCTAACTTTACCTCACATGCCCAAGAATTCAACAGATGCTAATTAACCACACTGCAGCATCACTGCAGCACTCCCAAATTAAACCTTGTAAAAAAGTAGTAACAGAATTAGGGTACCTGCAAAATAGAGTTATCTCTGTCTTGCAAGGCCTTTAGCAGTGACTGTGCTTTGTTCCCTGGCAGTATTAGATCCAGTAAGAGCTGGTCACATCAGTTGCAGTCAGTCATGCAGGTAGAGTACAATACCCTGAGTGCTGGACCACAGCTGTGGATGTGTTAGAATTTGTCTTCCAATGTCATTATACAAACCAATTCCAAAGTAGCCTCAACCTTGAATTATTTATTTCATTATAACAACAACCTAATGGGGAGAAATCAAAAATTTTGTGAAGTGTGAGCCCCAGAAAATGTATCGTGACAGTGTTTTTTGGTTTTCTTTCTCCATGTTCTGTACAAGAAAACTGCAGTGTTTTTTAGCTAAAAACAGTTTTAACCTAATAGAAATCTCTGTGAGCATAGTTAGAGGTCACCATAAACTGATTGCCACTTGTCCTAAAGCAAAACAACTTGGTTTTCTTTCTCCATACAAGAAAAGTGCTAGAATAACCCTTGACAGGAGTGCGGACTCTAGATTTGCCCTAAATAAATTAGTGAGAAGTAGCTAGTACTACTACTCTACTAGCAGTAGTAGAGAGGGCAGGTTAAAGGATTGCAGGAGTTTGTGCTCTCAACGCCCAGGAACCTGGTTTCTTTCTCCAGTCTCTGGGGCAAGCTAGGGAAAAGTGAGGTTGAGTTTGGTTCCAGTGCCATCAGGAGATTCCTTGCTCCCAGCTCTTAGTGCCCCACTCTAGTGCTGGCAGGGCAGGGCAGAGATCCAGGTGAGCAGAACTTGGCAGTCACTCTCAGCCACACCAGTGGCTGATGTGCCCGGGGACTGGCAGGAGGGAGCAGCTGCCTCTGTGGGTGCTGAGAGGGCAGGGGCAGCCTGTCAGGGATCCCTGCACTGCCCTGGAGATGGTGCTGTTGGAATGTGTCCTGCTCTCCTTCTGCCCTTCCCTTTGAAGGCATTGGCTCACTGATCTCTCATTCACTTCTTCCCAAATGTATGTTTACTTTTTAGTTTTCATCAAGTCACAAGGATGTTGGTTAAAAACATATCTCAGAATTTTCCCCAGTGAAAACTGGAAATTTCCACATGTTAGAATTGGAATTTCATCTTCTGACAATATTGTTTCCTGGTTTCTACAAATTTCAAAGAAAGTACACTGAGGTGCTGAGTTGTGAGAGCTCTGGGCAGTGGGTGCTCCCCTGATTTATGCTTCAGTTCTTATATTCTTGGTGCCTTGAGTTATTTAGGGTTTTTTAATACTTTTTAATGTTAATAATGAGACCAAGTGAAACCTTATAATGCCACATAATTGAAGGTTTTCATTGTTGTTTAAGGGGTTTGGCTTTTGTTTTTAATATCCTGGTGGGTAAGAATCAGGATTTCTAAATGCCATTTTTTCACAAGCAGGAGGCATAACCCATGAGAAGCTTTACATGTTTTGTGTTAACCCTCCAGGTATTAGTACAAGGTTAGCTGTAATTCAGGCTAAAATATGTGCATGAAAAAGATGTTTAGAATGTTCAGTTGAGCCTGCAGAGGCTTAGAGAGGAGAATGGATGACCTGAAGATGGCAATCAGTGAACAGGACACTTCCCTAACTCAGAATGCCAAGAAGAGCAAGCTCTCTGGAAAAACAAACTGATGACCTGGAAAATAAGATAAGCTTTAAAAATGTCAGATTACTAGGGAGGTCTCGAAAGCAAATTTAATGAAGATCCAGTATTTCCTTACTTTGCAATGGATTACAAAGCTGCTAAAGATTGATAACACAACCACAAAACAGCTGAAGGTATTTCAAGTTATCACTAGAAAGGTCAGGTTTCCCTTTGAACAGCACTTGCAAAACGTCAGTTTTTCAGAAAGCTGAAAATTATCTCTCTGTTACACAAAGGAACTTGGTTTTGGTTTGTCAGTGTGATTGTTTCTGTTTGATGGCAGGATGCAGATATGCTGGTTCAAAAGGAGCTAGCAAATAACGGTATATTAAATTTACTGAAAATTTGTAGATAGATTAATTTTTGCTAAAAATCAGCAGTCATGTCAGTTTTATCATTAATTAGAATGAGAACTCCTTTAGTTCATGAAGCAGCAGTTGTTCTCAGGTGCAAAACTTAAAATTGACCAAAGGATGACATGGTATTTCTGGCCTGAGTCACTGTAATTGATGAAGGTGGTACAGCACAGCGTGCAATCCACTCATCTCAAGTTGAATAAAAAGATCCTTCAAAGGCTTTGTTATTTTATGGATCAGAGTGTTCCTATTGGAGTTTCACAAGATAAAGGCTTCTCCTCTCCTTCATTGAGACATCACTGCTCATACCCAGCAGCAACTGGTTAGATTGAGACATTTCCTAAAAGCAAAGTGCAGTGCAGTCCTGCTGCTTCCTTGGCTGTCTTCATAAAGCACATCAGAGCTGAACTAATCTGATCTGGGCACAGCCATCTCCATTTCAGTTACAGCTTACACCAAGAGTTTCCTTTCACAGCTGCAAGTCAGCTATAACTTTCCTTTATGGGATCTTTGGGGCAGTCTTGAATGCAGTGAAGATAAAACTCTGTTTTCCCTGAAATACTTCCTTCAGGTAGTGAGGTCTTTATTTTGTTTCAGATGAGGAGGCATTTCTTCATAGATAAATTTGGGCTCACTAATCTAATTCCTAAGATTGTGTTAATTTTTGGAAAAGGATTTGAGCGTATGACTAATAGACCTGAGCTCTGTATAGAGGAATATGGGTGTTGTGACAGATCATTCAGTGGAAACAACGGTAATCACTGTTCTACAAAAATGCAGCCATACATTAAGATCAGGATTTCATCCAGAGACAGGCAGGAATAACCACCATTGCCACATTCCACTTTCTCACTGTCACTGACCCAGTCCTGCAGATTCCACAGCTGCTTCAGAAACTGCTTGGGAAGATAAGAAAATCTGTGAAATCACAGTAGGGTTCTGTTTAAAACAAAGTCCTTCTTTCCTTGGAAAGCTTCTGGTATAACTCTGAGGGTGAAGTTCTCACACGAACCCAGAACCTTTTAGGTACAGCCCAAGTAAACTGATGAGAATTTTAAGGATGTTATAGATAAAAAGAAATTCCTTGCTTGAGCAAGTCTACTGAAATGAGAGAATTTCTCCCTGAAAATTTAAGGTAGATCAGCTCTTCCTTCTTGTCAAATCCATGTAAGGGCTTTTCTTATCTAGGAGTCAGCAAGCTTTATCTACCTTACTCAGCAGTGCTTAGCAGTGCTTTTAAAAGTATTAACTAGCTATCTTCTACTATTTCATCAATTAAAAACTTGTGAGATTTTTCTCTAGAACATTTTCCAGTTCTAAGAGAATTGGAAATTCTGCATGTGCATTAAGCAATAAGTTTGGTAACGTTTTATGTGAGAACTTGTAAACACTGAGGACTGTTAAAGATCCGAGTGGAAGGGACTTTACCGTTTATTATTTTATAAATTTAGATTAGGCAATGGTAAATCATGTATTATTGTTCTTAATTCCTCTAATACAGTCTGTAAAATGGAAAGACTGAGAACCTAAAATGGATAAAGAAAAATATCTTCTTTATAATGCACAGTTAATCTGTGAAACTCATTACCATTAAGTTTCAGTGACACTAAAGAGCTTAGCAGAATGTCTTTACTGGATTATCAAGTGTACTCCCTTTATCCATGCAAACATCGCATTATACAAGATCTGAAAAAAAAAACCTTCTGAAGCTTCAGGACTAAGCCAGCTTCTCAATAATCAGAATTAGGAATGAATTTCATGGCTTAGAAGTTTCAGGTTGTCATTTGAGAAGTTTGTTTCACTTTCCTCTTCAGTGACTATTTGTGTAGGGACTGAACTGCAGGAGCCACTGGAATATTTTCAGTATCCATAGTACCCTGTGACTGAAACCTGGGCCCTGCTTGTCTCTGCTCAGTGTTTTGCAGGAATAAAGTGGTCAGTGTTCTGAAGAGAAGTTCCTGGGTAAGGTGGCCTCTGACCTCCCTCCAGCCATTAACCTCTGCATTCTTACTCAAGCATTATTCAGTCAGTTTAGGCTTTATATTTGCTTTATTAGCTTAAAAGTGCAGGGCCTGAGGGTATCTCAAAGCACTCTCTTTGAAACTAATATAGCTACAAATTACACAGTTGGTTTGTTGTGTGTGTAAAATGAAGTCCTCTTCTTGTCACATCCAGCTGTACAGCTGCCATCGATGGCTGCTGTGTTGATGCCCATTCGGGGAGGAGATCAGAGTCTGTGCTGGCCCCAAGGCCACATAAGCTTTTCTGTTTCTGTCACTAATTCCTGCCACTGGGATTTATGTGCTATCTTGTACAGAACTGTGTTCCCTCACCTTTACCTCTGGATCTGACCCTAATTCAGGAATACACTCTCACAATCACTTCTTATAAGCGTTCTCCTTTATCTCCCGTATTCATTGCTGTTTATTAATCACGCTAATTGAGCAGGCGTGCTCTGCATAGAGGAGAGCACAGGTTACACAAGAGCTGTGATTCCAGTGTCCTCACCAAAATTAACACACCACACAGGCATCCTCCTGGATCCTGCTGTTCCCTAAAGACCAAGGCAAGTTAGACCGCATCATCTTCTGGCTCTCCTCCAAAAAACGTGGAGGAGGAGAACCTGAAGGAAAGAGAGGCATTTGTCCCTGCAGAAAATAACACTTTTAAAACAGTTTTGAGCCGGTGCACACATGAATGACAAGTATTTGAATTCAGGGGGTTGTTGTCTGAAGGACAGTCATTTTTATGGCAAGTTTTTTTGCTTCACATAATCTCAGCTTCCTAGGAAAACAGACGTGTTGTCTGCATGCAGAGGGCTGTTTCCTCCACTAACGAAATACTTGTTCAGCTTCAGCCATTTGTGCCCGAGGAGCAGAGCTCTCTAAGATAATTAATTTCTATGAAGTTTGTTTTTTGAAATAAAAAAGGGTAGAGAAAGAACTTGGACAGAGGAGGCGGCACCCACTGTTGTAAATGCTAAATATACAAGGCATCAAAGAATCCATCCTGGCAAAATATCTATAAATATCCCAAATAAGGAGATAGCTTTAAGTATGACTTGTTACCAGTAAGCAGATAGAAAGTTATACAAAATCAGGTTTTAATGGTTCTAATCTGAGAGAACAGCCTTGTTTATCAGCTGCTCCTCTTTCCTTGAAAAACCAGTCATTTTAACTGTTTAGTTCATGGAGCAGCTGGAGATGTGGTTCTTGGAGCTCCCTAAGTGAGGACGGTCCCCCTTTTTACTCCTCCTGCATCCTGCCAGTGCCACTGGAGGGGTTGACATTTGCACCACGTACATAAGCTTGATCTCTCTGTCCTCAGCTTTAAGATACTGGGAGGCATTTCCCCGCGGATTTCATGACCGGACCTCTAATTGCTGTGGTTCAAAATGTATTCTTTTGAGGCTGTGAATACAGATTTGAGATACTCTCTTACTCTTAACAATAGGTTAGTGTTACTTCCTGAGGCTGCTCTGGAGAGCTGAGCGTGCTGTTCCCGGCGCAGTAGGCATGAGTAAGGCCATAGCTGCATTCCAGAGCAGTGATGCAGCTGCAGCCCTGCAGGGAGGCAGAGCAGGAGTTAAGAGGGCAGGGCTGGATGTGCCTGGCTGCCCGGGGCCTTGGCAGGACCCAGCCCCCGAAGGTAAACACTAAGGTGCAGTAGGTGTATCACTGTGCAGAGTTCAGCCTCTCGCTCACAGCTTGCACAACTTGTAGCACACCAGAACACTGTGGAATCAATGGCTCGCCAGAGTTTCAAGACATGATTAAAAGACTCAAGAAGGCCCTGAAAGAATTTCCTTTAATGGGGAATTGTGTGAGTGAGTACAGTGGGTGAGTTGGTATTTTTTTTCTTTCTTCCTTTCTAGCTCTTGGTTTACTTTGGCAAAATGCTTCTGAGCTTAGGTTTAGTGTATGTGCATGCATGTGTCTGGTTTGGAGAATGAGTATGTTCTTAGCTCACCAATTGATGCTAAAAAGTTACTTTGAGATGGGATAATTCCTGGTTTGTGGCAATGGCAGAACTGTGAAGCTGTTAGAATCTATTTCTTCTTAAAGAAAACATTCCTGTAGAGGCATGCAGGTATGTATATTATTTACATCAAGTCTTCAGTTAATTTATCCCGAGAGCCTTGTTGCTGCTTTAATTTTATGTCTGCTTTACTCTGAAATTACTGAGGTTAACTCTTTAATGTGGATATATTTATGGCACATGGAACGTTCTTCACACCATTCCTATGCATGGTACTAAAATGGAACAAAAATGGTACACTGATTAAAGATTACATCTTTTTGAACTTATGCCATTTATTCTCTTTTACTAACAAGTTCTAATGAGTTTGGTTTGTGTCAGCCTGCAGTTAAAATTCATGAGTCTGAGCAGAAACAGCATGTGCTCACTGCACTGTCCTGGCTCTTGTCATGCAGAGCATTGGCATGTTGGAATCTTTGTACTTGGGATTGCTACAAGATTTGTGTCCCAGAATTTTCAGGGTTTTGGCTTTGCCATAGACATATGCCTATCATTTATGTTAACTGTTTGTGGAAGTTTGAAATCCTTATCACAAAAGTTAAGTATCTCTACAGATACATGACATGCTGATTGTTTTTTAATGGAAGTCTGTTACTCTTGTCCCTAATGGAAATCACAAGTAGTTCAAATTCTTCCTGGTGTATTTGATCAGGCTGTAGTAATGAGAACTAGCAAACAGCACACATGCTCTTAAGATTTGGCCTGTAATGAGTATTTGTTTCTGCAAATGAGAGAACATAAAGGCATGGAAATATTTTTGCTCTGACATGTTTTTGTGGCATATTATTGATAATTGCTGTTATATTTTCAGTATGATTGTGGGGTTTTATTAAATCTCAACATTTTTTAATGCATATAATGCATAACTTTTAAATTACACTGCAATAAATATATTCATGGAAACAAAGTAAATGCACAGTTTTCAGGGTTCTGTGCTATAAGTCATCACAGTGTGATTAAAACTTCATAGCTAAGAGCAGGCACAGAGGAATGTCTTCAGTGTCTTTTGCAGTTGGCCTAATGCAGATGGATTTTAATGGTGGAGAATTTTATATGGGAAAGAGATTATTGGCCTAAATGAGGTCTGTTTCCCAGAGTCAGTTCCCAAAATCCTACTAGGATATGAAAAAGTATCATTGAAGTTTTATGCATTTATTGGGACTTAATCCCCCTTGTTATACCTTGTTATATTTGTTTGAGGCACAATTGTTTGCACTGGCAAAAAGCACCCTAAACTCTGCTGCTGTCATGAGTCCCACTCACTTTACCCAGAATTGTGCCTGCATATTTATGAGTACAGATGTTGATGGTAGTCAAGCTGTAAAACATTTTATTGTAGTTTTTATATGAAAGGCATGAACTCTTGTATTATAGATATTAAAATAATAATAATAATAGTAACTAACATGTTACTATTTCAGTCACATGTTATTTTTCCTCATTGAGGAAAATAAAAACTGTAGATAATTGTTCTTAGAAAAGGAGGGTGAAAGAACTTACTTCTCTCCCAGCTCATTCCCCTTCCTGCAGATGCTCAGTGCCCAGCTCGTGTCTCCAGGTGACGTTGTTGTGTTTGTTTCAGTCAAGTGCCTGATGACCCGGCCCTGGAGGAGCTGTCCCCTCGTGTCCCCAGAGCTGTGTTTGTCAAGCAGGACAATGGGGGCAGCGCCTCGGTCATCCCGGTCTCGGCCGCCCGCGCGCCGCCGGCCGAGGAGGAGAAAGAAGAAGCTCCAAACTCTCCTGATATCAGTACCTGCAGTGCTACCTACAGCAATTTAGGTGAGTGGACTGGAACTGGATCAGATTTTGGATACCTTTCCAGGGTGTGAAGAGCCTTTTCTTCTGAACAGCTCAATACATCTTCATAAGGGTAGCTTTTAATGCCCGTTTAATATTGATTTAGAGAAAATAAAGATATATAGTCTCATTCAGAGATCATAACCAAGAAAGTGAAGATTCAACAAACTCAAAGATTTGTTTTCCTGAAATTTTAAACAGTCTTTTAATTGCTCTTAGTGATAAACATCTCAAATAATTTTAAAAATCAACATTGTTTTATCTCTTTGGAGGAATTTTTGTCAAAGAGGTTTCAAATACAGAGCAAGCTACCTAATTTCCTTAGAAGGTATAAGTGAAATTCAATATTTTTCTAAACTTCAGCAAAAGATATGGCTTTTTATTTTAGAGCATCAAGAACTGCTAAAATATTTGTACCTATCTTCTATTGGCTGAAACTGTTCTTATCCTAGTCAGAGAGTTTACTTTTGGTCCTTCCCAATGAGATATGAATGTCCTGAAGGTACTACTCAAAGATTACTGAATTCCTGACTCATTAAAGAGATCCCTGGATGCAGGGCTCCTCTGGAAGAGAAGGGAGCAAGATAAAGCAGCATCTCCTGGTGCACAGTACCAATATTACCAGCCTAATTTTCTAAAGCATTTTGATTTGCATTACTGCGAATTCAGGGATACCTCCAGCCAGGTTTTCTAGAACAACAAGATCTCTCATTTATTTACATTCCAGGATATCCCAATACATGTTTTTTGAACATCCCAATCCTGTAAACACAGCAACTTACTAAGCATTTGGCCAAGAGTAAAGTGATAGTGTTGAGATGGCTCAGGAGTACAGGGGGTTTGGCGTGTCCACACAGGTTTCAGGGATCAAGGACTAAACTTTAAACCCTCAGGTGCATGCATTCCTTAAACATTCAGTGAAAGTGTTGCATTTTCTTGCTTAAATGGGAATTAGTGGCAAGCTTATTAGTGCATTCTGCTATTAAAACATTAATTAGATGTTGTTTATAAAGTATAAGGAGGAAAAATATCCTGTCCAAGTGTGATGCTAACATCTACCAAGAAAATCTTCCTCTAAGGAGGAAAACTAAAATCTGTATCTTTATGGTGAATTACTCATAGGTCTAATGAATTATTTTCAACTTAGTGAGGTGTCTGTCTGTATTTATCTTTGCTGTATTTAGAAGACAGGGATGTTGCAGACAGAATCCAGGCAGTTGAGTTCTAGCTGTGTCAGAACAACTTGTACCATGTTTGTCCCATGCAGCACAATACCATCAAACACTGGAACAGCTTGCTCAGAGAAGTTTTGGAATCTCCATCTGTGGAGATATTCCCAGCCCAACTGGAGAGGATCAGGACAACCTGCTCCAGCTGACCCTGCCTGACTGTCTCAAGAGATCCCTTCCATCCATCCTGGCCTGTATTAGTGCTGTTCCTAAGTCTGAATGTTTCTTTTTAAAACCATAAAAATAGTCAACCCCTTAGCAATTTATTCAAAATCTTCTCCTCACCATTGGTTCACTTGGAGCTGTGCTGTCTCCAGAGTAACCTTTTGGTGTGAAAGGGTTAAGTTAGCTCTGGGGCTTGCCTGGCTCTGGCTGGGAGAGCTGCCTGCTGGTAGGAGCAATGCTTCCCTAAATGGCACTGAGCTCCCTGGCTGCCCTTCAAAGGCTTTCTGCTTTATTCAAGCAGCCTCACTTTCTAGTTCAGATGGCAACAAAGAGATTTCTAGGTAGGAACATGGAATAATTCCTACTTGTTTTCACATCTTGCATCACCTAGGCAGCAAAATCTTATCTCTTATAGAATTAACAAGTATTGGTATGTGAAACTGGAAGAAAGGATAATATGAGAAGTTACATCACATTTGACTCTTGCCTCAGCTGCAATTAGAGCTGCATGCTACAGTTTGTAGTTTGTAAAATACATCACATTAACATCTCAATTTGCAGCATAATGCACAACATTCACCTTTTAAATTCATCTGATACGTAGTCTATGGTTTTTATTAAAGAGCAGATAATATGTCTCTACTTTGATAAATGGCTAATCTTCAGTTCTGACAACTCATGATGCCTTAGCCCTCATGAAGTGTCATGAACAGAAATAATTGCAAGCCTTGGTAAATTTTCATCAGCAGTCAGGTAATAGTTTATATCAGACACTGCCCTCAAATATATTTTGTTTGGCTTTCCGAGAGACAAACCTTACAAAACAGAGGATTCTACTCCAGGAATCAGGTACAACATGAAAGAGTTGGGGCTTTTCTGAGATCCCACTATGATGATAAGATAAGGTGTGTTCCTGGCTGTGGGAGGAAACTTGAGTAGGAGAAGAGAGGTTCTTGACTGCCATGGTCATAGTCAGGTTCTGGTGCCCACAGTTTAAGCAGAATGTTTTAAAATTGCACAGGCTCTAAAGAAAAGCTTTGCAAATGTCTGGTATTGTGGCAAGCACTTCATAGGGACTAATTCAGAATCTGAATCCATTCAGCTTATCAAAGGAAGAGTCTGGCTTGATCATGGTGTGGGTGCTCATGTGGTGAGCAGAACTGCAGTGAGGGAGACCTGTGGTATCAACTATTTAACAAAATCCAGAGGCTGCCACTTGAATCAAGATGAAGAAACAAATGTTCAAATGTGTAAGGGAGGGCCTGGATGTTTCTTTTGTAAGTGGTTCTTTTATTGTTACAGAAGTTAATTCAGGTAAGCCCTGTAACTGATGATAAGGAAGACAAAGCCTTTCCTTTACAAATCTTTAAATTGTTCTGTCTTTGTCTGAATTTGTTGGGGAAATTGACTTGATTGAATTTGCATGGCTGTAAGTAGATTAAGGAATTCTCAGTATACTCGGGATAACATTTCTGCCACTGAAAAAGAATAGGTTATTTCATTATCAGCTGTGTTTCTCTTTACACCTAAAGAAATGGAGAAAAAAGGAGGCTGAGTTTCTAGGCTTTGTGATTGCTGGCATTGGAAAAAAAATCCCAATCATAGTGTCTGCCATGAGGTATTGCCTCAGTCAGTCAGACCAGGGCAGAAAACAGTGCTTTAGCCAGGCTGTAAATAAAGTAATGAGATCATTGTTGATGAAAACTGACAGTTCAGTGACAGACAGTGATTATAGCATCAGTCTGGTGCATTTTGTACAGTACATAATTAGCACAGGTAATGTCTAACATGGTGCAATGGAGAGTGGGCAGCAAGACCTGACAAGTCACCAAGCAAACAAAGTGAGACTTCTCTTCCCAACAGACCTGTGCCCAGTCTCAGATTACTGCTGAGACGCTGGACGTGCATCACCAGTGATACTGAACAAATGGTAGCTTCCCTTTCTCCAGCATGTCTAATCATTCTGGTGAGGTTTTAACTGTTCCATTAACAATCCATGTGTAAACAATGGAGGATTTAATGCAAATCTGTGTACAGGAGAGTTTTATAGACCAGTAGTATACATGGAGAGCATTTATTGGAATTGGGGCTGTGAAGCATGCTGGTAGCTTTTGCTGTGGTTGGAAGGTACATGATGCATTTGTGGGTTTGTTTCATGGTTTGGTTATTTTTATTGGTCAGGATATGTGTTTATTAAGGAGTGATGTCAGATTTGATAGTTTCAGCAGCTAACATAAATAGGCTGCAATGCAAAGTCTGATGATAGATCAGTTACCCAGAAAAATTAAACTTAAATGCCTTTCTCAGATGTCTTTCAGAGCTTCAGAGCTCTGCATGGTGTCTGGAGACTTAAGCATTAATATTTAAATCGTGTAGTGAGATTCTGTGTTGGAAGATCTCATTGAACTGTAGAATTATTTAAAGCTCTCTAGAAATCTGCTGTCTGTAAAGAGTTAAAATTTTTTTTCTGTCATTGAGCAGTCTGGAATCCACTTCAAAGATCTTTCAAAGTGGTAGCCTAATATTGTCCCTGTTCTTCCTCTTCATTTTGCCTCCCAAGAGTGTGGCTCAGGCTGAACTTGCAATGTTGGATAGTCTGTGCAGTAGGTAAGGAAATGATGAGTTTAAGCATGCAAGGGGAGAAGGAAAGGATAGGCATGAGAAAGAAATCAATGCTCTGATAGCATTTCTATGCAAAAAGACATTCTTGTGCCTTTGACAGGGACAACATTTAAGACAATCTTTTTCTCGCTAGGCAATGATTTTATAAAACTTGGGCCATGCTTGGGGAAAGCTGAGCTGGAGACAGGCCCAATAGCTATGAAAGAAATGTACAGTGCTGGAACTCAGCATAGAAACAGTGCAGACATTAAACTTTTCAACTGGTAATACAGATGGTTAGATTTCAATATGGAAAACTTGTTATTGTGGGAAGAAACTACACTGTAACATAGCATGTTATACAAACTCATTTTTTCTCAGCTGAGAGTACTTGAAACAGTAACTACAGAATGACTTGTACATTCAGTTCTCTGGAACCTGCCACCCCGTCCAGACATCTGAAAAAACAACTTCTGGTTATGAAAACCTTCTCCAATTCTGTTTGGATGTCACCGTGCCAGTAGCTGTGCAAAAACAACACTGGTTGCAGTCTCAACACTCTCCTCTGTGTGAGTGGCTTTTGGAGGATGGAGTCATTATAGCAGACAGCAGAGATTCGAGCAGTAACACTGTTATAAATCTTACCTTTCCTGGAGAGGGCGGCTGCTGCTGCTGCTCAGGATGTGCATCTTGCTCTAATTTGTTTCCCTGTTTCCCTCTAGCACCTGTGCATCCTTGGGTTAGGAAGTCCCACAAGCAAGGCCTGTTAGCAGACAGTGTCTCTGTAAAACCCAGCAGTCAGGCTGGCTCAGCAGAGTGGGGAGGAGGGTGAGGAGGAGAAATAGGCAAGTGATCTTTAGCACAGTGCTGCTGGAGAGAAGTACATAGGTCACAGATTTTGTAAGAGTGAGCAGTTGTGGAAGAGGACACACGTTTGCATGAGTAAGAATTGGATATCAAGTAGAAATGAACTTGTCTCAGGATTAAGCAAAAGGCATCTGGATGTGTGTCTGACACACAGACATCAATTCTGCTTTTGACTTGGAATCATACCACACTTCACCTCTGCAAAAGGAGCTTCATGACAGAGTTCCTGTAGTGCCCAGCTGGCACCAGAATTGGCAGCTGCAGCACAGCAAACATTCACTGCAATACAAAGGAGCAGTAGGGTCCCCCAAGCCCTCCAAGAGTTACATTATTTTTGGCAACCTTTACAATAATTTGCAGTCTTCCCTGAATATCAGGTATGTACAAAACTGATAGAATTTCCTGCTCAGAACTTGGTTTTTTAAACATTGGAATATCCAGGCTTATCATTAAATCCATAAGGCTCTTCTGAGGGATTCTGGAGCTTAAACAAAAGATAGGGGTAGAACTTTCATTTGGGATGTTGTCTCCTTGGGATGATTGAAAAGCGAACGATTGTTAAAAAAACAGAGTGTAACGCTGTTTTGTTTGAGGATACATATAAAAATATGATCCTCTCTGATCTTCTGAAATTAGGAGGTGTATGTCAGCATTCTATCCCAGCATTGCAGGGTTTGGTACATCCTGGCCATGTAGATTTCACATTCTGTAGTGTTCATAAAAACTGTAACAACATACCTTAACATGCAAAGAAAGCTAATATTTCTTTCTTTTTGAAAACTGCAAAGATATTAATTATGAATTATGGACTGAAGTGATGTAATTCAGATCTGAATCTTAGATCCCCCTAGTCTTCCAGTTCAGTCCTCTCTTTACAAGGCTTTCATGGGCTTGGCAGTGTTAGGTTAACAGTTGGACTCTGATCTTAAAGGTCTTTTCAGCCAAAATTATTTTATGATTCAGTACATTATAAATAGTCAAATAGTTATAGTGCCTGTTCCCCTACTAGAAAAGATGCTCAGCTGCAATTCTTCAGAGCATCCATTTCAGGTCTGCTGTTTTCAACTGTCAGAGTTGGCTTTGTACCTTACCAGGACAAGTCAGTGAACCTCCCAGGAGAAGCAGAAAGCTTATAAAATAATTTCTCTGAAAATAGCAGTTGGTTGGAAGCATCTCATCTTGATATGAGTAACAGCAGTTTAATCGTCCCAGAGCAGCAAGCTGATCATTTGTATTGTGTTTATTAGTTTTTATTCTCTATTATACTATTGTAATTTATTTATTCTGAATTTCCAAGGACTCTGGCACTTATGAAACATAAATGCCTTTGATAAAACTCATCCAAAATACATGACAGGAAGTTTATCTTCCCTGGATTCACACAAATGTCTGAAACTAGAAAATCCCAGCCTGTGTGTACATAACTTGCCATTTGGAATCTCTTGAGTAAAGTGGGGTCTGGTTATCTCTGAATGTTACATTGCCAATAAAGGGACCTATGGCAAGGTAGGAAGGCAAATGCATTAGAGAAGTCACAGTCAGGAGGAGGGGACAGGAGTTTTAATTGCAGGATAGAAACTATTTCTGTCAAAATCTGATCCTGCTGTTGATGGCAACACACTTGTCAACTTGAGTGAAAGTTGGCTTAACTTCTTTGATTTCACTGTGTGAATCTGCTGGGGCAATCCTGACTGCCTTATGTGACCACCAGAGTATCTAAATTGTGTTATTTGTGTCTGGCATTTCTGGGTTCCATTCTGAAATAGGATTTTCAGCCTGTCTAGTGCATTTCCCAGTTGTTTTATGGACTGTTATCCACCCTTAGTTTTAGCACATTTGCATAGAAAATAAGGAATAATATTACAGTCAGTTGACTGCAGAAGAAATTACAGGACGCTGGGTGTAATTGCTAAAACTGGACTTGGCCAAAGTGTCAAATTGAGGTTTGGTTTTTGCTTGCAGTTCTTATCATTGGTCTGCTGGTTGTGAAATGGCAGTGCTGCTAGCACTGAAGCTGATTTCACTATATATGCCAAGGTCAAATCAAGACTGGCTGGATGTAATTAGATGTATATGATGCTGATTTGGTCATTTACTTTCTAATTAGTTCATCTTTTCATATATGTATCTAGGGGTTTTTGAAACGTTGCAGGAGAGGGCAGGTCCTAGTCAGGGTTTTGGGGATTTTTTGCCTTAAATTTCTTTTCAGAGTGCAAACAGGAGCAGCACACATGAAGTACTTTAATCTTCTCTTACTGTTATCTTATTCCACAGGGCAGTCCAGAGCAGCCATGATCCCTCCAAAGCAGCCCAGGCAACCCAAGGGAGCTTTGGATGATGCCATTGCCTTTGGAGGGCTGGCAGACCAGGAGACAGTGAACAGCCTGCAGCCAACACCACCTCCACTGCCAAAGAAAACAATTCTGAGAGCTAACACAGAGCCAACTCCCCGAGATCTCCAGAAGCAGGCTCTGGAGAACAACCTGTGCATCATGGCCAACCCCACCTATGACATTGACACCAACTGGGAAGCAAGCAGCGCCTGTTCCTCGGTCAGCCTGGAGCTCAAGGTCCTGGATAACGAGTCGGGAGATTCCTTGGACAGGCCGACAGAGAAACTGAGGGCAGCCGCCTCGGCGACGAACAGCGTCTCCAGCCTGAGCACTCTCAGCGTTAAGGAGCGCTGCTCCAGCAGCATGGAGTCCCTGACGGGGCGGCGCCTCGCGCAGGCCAGGCAGGGCCGCGGCGTGCAGAAGCCACAGAGACAAGCACTTTACCGAGGCATCGAGAACAGGGAGGAGGTGGTGGGCAAGATCCGGAGCCTGCACGCGGATTCGCTGAAGAAGCTGGCGCTGAGGTGTGAGGACCTGTTCATGGCCGGGCAGAAGGACCAGCTGCGCTTCGGGGTGGACAGCTGGTCGGATTTCCGGCTCACCAGCGACAAGCCGTGCTGCGAGGCGGGCGATGCCGTCTACTACCCCGCCTCCTACGCCAAGGATCCCCTCAACAACTACGCGGTCAAGGTGAGAGGGGCTGCGGAAGTGCTAAGACGAGGGATCGGTGGCACAATGGGGCAGCAGGCACACCCTGCACCACATCCCACAGTGACTGCTGGCACAGGGGTGAGGAGTAAGGCTCCCAAGATACAGGCTCCTCCTTCTGTCCACACCCATCTGTGGCACTGGTACCTGCTGTTTAATTGCATGTTTTTATTGCAGCTCCAAAATGACCGAAAGAGGAATCAACACATCTTAGTCTTTGCTATGGTCACTGCTTAAGGACATTTTGAAAGAAAACCTGTGTTCTTTTAACATGTGTCGGCAGCTTTTTGGGAACTCGCAGTAACAAAATCCTTTGATTCACCTGCATGCAGAGGAAATTAAATCATCACTCCTAGTTAGAGAAGGTTTCCTAAGAAATTTAAAAGTTCTCTATTTTCAGAGCCATGTAATTTTAAATGTAAATTCTAGGGTAATAGACCTTTCTGTCGCCATACAAGGTCTTAGATTTTCACCAAATTTTCACAGCCTTTCAAAAGCTCTGCCTAGCCATCAGTGTTTGCCTTATAAATTCTTCAGCTATATTAAAGAAATAAGATTTACTAGATTTACTGCTAATGTATGAGTGCCTAGCTGGCAGCTATCTCACCAGATATTGTTATTTCATGGACTTTTATATAGGTTGCTCTTTCTGAGTGCTGTATCTCTGCATTTCTCAATGCTTATCTGGTAGGAAGATAGTGAGAAGGACAGCTGAGACTCATAGCACTGTCAGGCTTCCTGTATGACCTTGAGTAAATCACTGAACTTCTGACACCTCCTTGTTGAAACTGAGATAAAACATTTATTGCCTGACACAGATGTGTGAGGCCTGAGCTGTTATTCCTTATATTTCACATTCTCACAAGGGTGGTGCTTTACAGGAACAAAATGTTGTTTTCACTCCCGCATGACTGTTTACAAGTTAGATATAAAAAAACTGAAGGGTAAGATTGGTGCAGCTAGTATGTTTTTCTGAGACCTGAAGAGGTATCTTTATGCAAATATCTGGGTCTAACCATTTATATTGCATTAATTATTAAGGACTTCTTAGTGGAAAATATGTGAAATGAAATATGGATGACTTGGAGCTGCCATGTCCAGTAGCACGGAGCAGCCAAGGAGAGCCAGACCATGGCAGTCAGCTGTGCTTCAGAATCAGTATCTGGCACTGCTCATGGCTGGCTTGGAGGGTTTTGCTTTAATACAATGATGCAAAATGATTGCTTCTAGGGCCCAAAGTGGTATTTTTCTATATATGCAGGTTTGAGTTATCATTAATGTGGTATCTCTTTACACATCACAGATGTGCCTTTAAAATATTCCCTGACAGGCCAGACCTGTGTCATTGGTCTGTTATCTCGTGTCCTCTGAAATACATTTCTCTTGTAGAAAGCCACAGAGAAGAAAGAACAGCAGGGTAACATGGTCAAATAGGTGCTAAATTTTATTTTTCATAATTCAGGTTTCTTAAAAATAGTTATCTGAGTAGTAAGGTTTATTGCATCGTAATAGATGCGAGTGAAGTATCCACAAAATATCCTTGAGCTGGAGGTCACCAGGAGCTGTTGTGCTGTTACGATGAGAGGAAAAGTTCCTCTTGAAAATACCCCTCGGGCACTTAATGTGATGGAAGAAGGTTGGCTCCAAGTTGAACTTTGACTTATAAGCCATCAGTCCAGGATCAGATTTGTCCAAAAGCCCATAGCCACAGATTGCTGTATCATTACACAGAGACTGGGGAATGTAGCTTTAATAAATATGCTACTTTTTACTACCATGGGTGTATTTTGTGTGAGCCAAATTACATAGTAATCTACCTTCAACAAATAACCTATGTCTTCCTGCCACTTTATATCCCTCATCTCCAGAACAGGGTGGAGAAAGCAGTGAGATGAAAACTACTGGTGTGCCAGTTGAATCTAAAACAGTCTTCCTGTTATTTTGGATCAAGTCTTAGAAATACATTTTGAAAGTGTATATGGAGCCACATCTCTGGACAATGTAAATTAATGTAGCTCTTTTGAGTTTTGCAGAACTACCCGAGCAACACTGGCTAACAATTCAGACAGTTAAGAGTTTTATCTTTTTAAACTTAAAAATCTTAAGAGTTTTATGTTTTTATTATTAGATCTGAGAAACAATATCATAATGAGATTTTTTTAATTATTATTCTCTTTGTAGAAAATCAGAGATTCACCCACAAATAGTGCTAATAGTCTTGATACATAAAATTGGCATTTTCATATTCTATCTCCAAAAAGATAATTACAAAAGCATTGTTAAAAATTCAGCTTTGACCATTTAACTACTGCTGAATTAAATTTAGAACAATGAATGATTTGTAGAGGTGAATGTACCAGTGCACTTTTCCATTCTGGTGGTTTCACCAGTAAAAGATGCTCTGATAAATTTGGTGGAGAACGAGCCCAACTTGTTCTGTTGGGGTGAATATAAGAGGAAACATTCATAGGGGTGTGTTGTTTCACAGCACTTTACTGTGCTTTTTGCTTCAACTCTCACCTAATCTGCTAGTAAACACCCAGTGCAAAAATAGCTGCAGAAAGCCATGTGGAAATTATTTTGACTGAAACATTAGAAATAAAACTAGTACATAAGTCATGATCAGAAAAGTACTTTTTCAAATGGAAAAATTAAGTTCCCTTTCAAGAAAGGTTTCCATAAAATTCCAAACCCTGAGGTGTTTTTCTTTCACCTAAGTGCAGTACCACCATCTCAGTTGTTGGTATATCTGGGGCAATATGAATAAACATTCCCCTGAAACCACAGTCTTGTCAGTAATTCCAAATATATGGTGAAAAGGTTACACCAAAGTAAAAGCAGCACAGAGCACCAGCTCTTTGGACACAGCAGATTGGATGAGTTCTGTTCTTAGTGTCCTGACACAAATTGAATAAGACACTGATGTGGTAGGGACGTCTTTTATTAAAGAATAAACACATAAATTAGATTACTCAGAAGGAATAACAGATAATATAACTACTGTGTCAGTGATATAAATGGTTCCACTTTCAGAATTAAACTCTCAAAGCAGACACTGTCCAGTATCACAGGCTGACTCACAGAAGCTGTGACCGAGAGTCTGCGCAGAACAAGAGCCATAAAACCCATCTGTGTCTGGCCACAGGCACGTGTGGCAGCGCTGCTCAGTGAGGTAACAGGAATTGCAGAGATGCAAACAGCTCAGAAGGAGCAGTTCAAATGTATTGCTTTGATTGCTGCAGGGCAGCAGAAGTTCTCCTAGCAATAAAACCTTAGGATTCATGGTAAGGTTTGTGTCCCAGCTATAAAACATAGGAATGCAGAAGTAAGCAGCACTGGGCTGAACTTGGCTGGCAGTTTCGTATTGCAGCTGACAATTACTTCCTAGTCATGTTTAGTTTGTCACAGTGTGCTAAGGTTGCTTTATTTGGTAATTCAGCTTCCTAGTGGAGCTTCCTGTCAGAAGCATTGTTAAAGGTTGTCCCAGAACTTTGTGCTTCAGATCAAAACAAAGCAATGTACATTCAACTTCCAGCCCATTCACAGTTCAGTCACAGCAAAACAGAATTCTGTGTTTGGCACATCATTAAAAAGTCAAAGCTCTATTCCAAGGCCAGATCAAGAAAATGAGGTCAATCAGAGATCAAACTGGCCTCCTTGGAAAACAAGGTTGTGCCAAGAACAAGCTATCAATTTGGGATTAGCAAGCTTTCATTCTACACAGAATTTCATTTGTAGTTGTCCCTCTGTGCAATACAACAAAGTGGCACAGATGGTACAGTCTTTGTGATCTTCTGTGTTTCTCATTTTCAGCATTTGTAAATTCATTTCCCACAATACTCGTGGAGCTTTAAGTTCACTGACGCCGTGTGAAATGCATGGGACAGAGTGGAAATGAGATTCCCTGCTGGGAAAGTGAGAGTCAGCTGATGGCACTGGAGGCCACGGGACTCATAAAGGAAGACAAAAAGCTAAAGCAGAACATTTTGTAGAAGCTCTGAAATGTTCAAATCCTGCTTCTTGGGCTAGGAGCACTGAGGAAAATTGAAATGGCAGGGTATAAAGAAACGTGTCCTGTCCCTATAAACGTGACAGACATTCAGTTCATGTGGATGCATTAAATAAAATAACCATTATGACAGTGCGTGGAAGAGGAACATGGATACTTTGCATTCCTGCCTACTTATACTCTCCTTTTTTCTTGTTGCTTTCTTGCATCATATGGAAGGGGTTTTCACCAACATTGCTTCATCTTTTGAACAAGCAGCTCTTTATCAGCTCATGAAATAAGGCTGGCCAAGACCTTATCAACACCTTCCTTTCAGCTGTTATCACATACCATATCTTCATAGCTCAGCTGGATGTATTTCATTAAAGCAAATCGTAAATGAGTCATTGATCCTACTTTCTGTGTTAGTGTTTTAGTAAAAGTATTTTCACCTTTTCTTCCTGTGCCAAAAAACAGGTATGCAGCATACTCTATATGTAAAAGGCAACAGGATTTCCATCTTTTTGAGTAGATGACTGGAATAGACAAAAGTTTTAAAAATGCAAAGGAAACTAGGCTATATGTTTTTTCCCAGCTTTGACACAGAATTAACCATCACAAGCAGAAAAGCAGCTCTGTGTGCACTTCTTTAGCAATTCATCACCAGCAGATGAAAATACTTGCTAGAGAGGCCAACAAATTTCACAATTTGTTCCCTAAATTTTTTCAAATGTAAATACTGACTTTAGTCACATAACGTATACTCCAACTCCCAACAATTTTGAAAGTTTTAAGTCTTCGTCATTCAGATGGTAGTTTTAGGTGATAGTGGAGTTATTCCAGTACAAAAGGCTTGGGTGAGAATAATTACCCATTGATAGTCTTCAATATCAGTTTTTACTACTCTTCTGCAAAATGATAATATAAAGTAGACTTCTGAGTAGAACCTGCAATGTAAAAGAATCTGAATAGTGCAATGTAAAACCCCAATACTTACCTGAAGAGAAGCCAGACACTTACAGGAACATCAGATCACTGCAGGTCTGTCTTCTAGAAGCCACTTTATGAATTCAGACAGGTGTCTAATTTGTTATGACACTCTGAGTTTGGGTGCTGCCTCCAGAAAGCCCAGCTTTCTTTCTCTTCATTCTGACAACTGCAGACTGCCCAGTGAACAAATTTTGGTGTTTGTGTAGTCAGCAATTTAATCAGCCTGAAATAACCCAGCTGCCTCTTCCACTTCTCATTGCATGGTGTTTGTAAACAAAAAGCAAGAAGCAGAAAATACATCTCGAGTCAGATCTCAGCTCTCTTGTCTTTGTAGCTATTGAATGCAGGTTCATGTACCCATCTACTTCTCTGTGTTAAACAAGAGAACTGGAAGTGCCCAAAAGCCATCACTATTGGCCATTTGTGGGATTAGAGATTTTTCTCCCTATATTGGTTTAGATTCCTTAACAGTGCAATAAGGATTGAAAATCTCTTTTAATGAATGCTGTCATTTTAGTGCCAGTTTTAATTATGATACTATTTAGTATTTAATGTCTGGTTTGTTGATAACTTATATTCTGTTTAATTGATATAGAGAGGAGTCTGAAGCAAGACCTTGTGAAATTTAAGAACTGATTTTGGGCAAAGTTTGGCCCTTCAGTAGCTTCCTACTTTAGAGTGGACAGTGCTCTGAATGTTTTCAAGAACACATGGAGTTAGTAATGTAATTTATTCTTCCTGCGAAGTATTCCAAGGATCATTGGACACAAAGCTTTGTTCTGCTGAATGCTGGAGAGGCCTCAGCTGCAATACTGAATTCATTATAGGTACCACTCTTCAGAAAGATGTAATACATGGGCAGAATCCAGAAAAAAACAACACAAATCAGATAATTAAGAGTAAAGATAGGAGAAGTAAGGACTGGGTATTTTCAAAAATAAACAAAGAAGATGGGAAAAGTTACATTTTCCCCAGTTGTATAGGTATCATATTCAAGGATGGGAATCAGGAATCAATTTTTAGCCAATCAGCTAGGAGAAGGACTGTCACTTAAATTTGAAGTAAAGTTGACTTAGGATTGAATAGTGGAAAGAAAAATAAAGAAGTTAAAGAAGCAGAACTGCGTTGGGGTGGGCTTAGTAGGCTAGAGAGGTGTTTCCCAGGGATGACCAAACAGATGAGACTGGCCTTGCAGGCCACTGGCTCAGGAAAAACATCCTCTGCACCAACGGCTGGATGCCTTTGGATGCAGATGTGCATGGCCAGCCGTTTCTATGGAGAAACATCACCACATCCATAAAGCATGGATAAAAGTGTGCTTCTGTACTCTCACAGCTCTGGGATTGGCCATGCTTACTAAAATGAGGGAACCAAAGCTGATTTTGAGAGCTACAGATCCTATCTCCAACTTTAACTGAAATAGTAGTAAATTTGAGAACATTCTCTGAAGTAGGAAAATGAGGCTGCCTAACACTAAAATTACAAACTAGGAAAAGGTCTTGATTCCTTTGCTTTTCTTTTCTTGTTGGCAAGGAGAAATCCTTTCCATAAACTTTTAAAAAAGCCTTAAATTTACCAAACTGAGATGTGTATATTGTTTTCCAAGCACATACTTTGTGGAATATATTTTCCTAGCAGAATATCAGTTTTAGCTGACTGGTAGCATTAGAAATCCTCTGTGGATTAAAAAATAGAGTCCAGTAGCTAAGGCCAAGTGTGGTTCTCCACATTTTTTACCAGCAAGTAAACTTGACTTTAAAACTAAACTATTTCAGAATGAGTTTTTTTGTTGGTTTTTTTAAAATTAGGTCACTTAAGTATTTTTAAAAAATAAAGGCTGAATTACAACATGCTGAACCTTTTCTGCAGTTGGAATTGAATATTCCCATGGCTGGCTGTGCAAGAAAAAGGCCAAGGACTTGAAGGGCATAGAAGATGGAACAATTTTGTTTTCCTTAATAGCTCTTCTCCCAGTCAGATTTGATACACAGCATGTGTGTACATTCAACACATATATATGAGTCTGTCTATATAGCTTTTCTAGTTCTGTCTTCTGTGCAGTATTAAGTATTTAATCAATCTGGGGACTTCAGTCTCAAAGACAATCAGCTGGCATTTTCTTTTTCTATATAATTCAAAGGTTATTGCTATATTTTTGCCTCTGTAACCCTTGAGAGAAGGGACAGGGGACACACATGCCACTGAGAACTCACTTCACCTCTAACAGGGTAAAATACCTTTGAAAATTTAAATGAGCAAAAGCCACTGTATAAACAGGGTAAGGATCAACATTTCCTCTCATAAATAAAGTTGACTAGAAAATGCATTTTTCAAATCAGTTTTGTGGGTTTGTGGCAGTTACAAACAGGCAGTTTTAGTGTACATAATGAGTAGGGAAATATAAGTGCTTGTGAAGTATGGGAATATGCAGAGTCTCGAAGACAAGAGGACAATCAATGTTAGTACAAATTTTGTCTGAGTTCCTATGGTTGTCTGACAATGCAGTTTTCTGATCAACTACCTTAAAAGATTAAATCTCCCATTTCTATTTCTTAACCACATAGCATGTAAAATATGAAAAAAATATGTGTGTGTTACTGAAAGGTAAGTTTATAACTTCACTACAGAAGTTCTGAGTAGGGGGAAAACAAGAAACAGAAAGAAAAGTCACCTAATGGTTACATTTGGGGTTAGGATGAGATCTGGGTTTCTTGGTGGTGGTGACATGTTGACCTTAGTTATCTGGCTTTCCTTGGTTTCAGAAATGAGCTAAGGGAAGCTCTAGTTTCATCTGGAGAGAGATGACTTCCTCTTTTTTCTTCTCTGAGCTTTGCACTTAAAACCTGTTGGTGCATTACAGCAAATGAATATTTAGACTCTAACCATGTAAAAGATCAAAACATACACTTAACCTTACATGCTGTGAATGATCTCTCAGAATTTAGTAGAACTAAGGTTAATATGCAAAGGTTGAGACAGCTGAGTCTTTTTCATTTTAATCAGTTAATGCCTTAGAAACAGAGGCCCTTATAGGGCTTGTCCAGTGGCTTTCGTCAGGGGTTGGAGCTGCCAGCTGTTACAGGAGCACAAACAATTAATGAGGATAATTACTATGTTGATAATGTATATATCAATAAGATACTTCTGGACCATAAATACAGTATATATGGCAAAAAAACAAACCATATTTTGTATCTTGATAATTGATTGAAAGCAATTAAGGTACCATGTTCTACTGATTGTCCATTCATCACCTGAGCCAAGCCTGACTGGAAGCAGCCTGTGCCATGCACACGTACACCCCTCACTGCAGACACACTGCTGCAGCTCATGGATTTCAGTTCCAGTTACAATGGGCTACAAGCAAATATCAGTCACCCAGCTGACAGGAGCTGACTTGTTATGCCATGCTAACTCAGCCATGTGCAAGCATTTGGTCAAATACTTTATGCATATTTCTTTGTATCCCCTGATGTTATTATTTTTATCTTGTTCAAGCTTTACACAAAGCTGAGAGAACTTGCAATAAAATTATACAGGTAGACAAGTAACTGTAAAAAACTTTGCTGTGCATTTACCATATATCAGCTGCTGTTCTGATTAAAAACCAGAATTGTACTTGCCATTGTATCATCTATGCAGAGAGAGAGATGCCTGCATGTGTTGCTCTACAGTTGCTTACTAGCCAATTAAAACTGAAAACTGCCTTAAGACAATCTGCCAAGGTCAGTTCATCAAAAAAAAGTTCACTGCTCACGTTTAGGACTATACTGGGGATCCCATCAACAAAGTACATATTAAAAAAATATATATAGAATTTAGAAATTAAAGAATTATGTCTGTTCTGTTTATTCTTTCCCTCAGATTTGTAAGAGCAAGGCTAAGGAATCGCAGCAGTATTACCACAGCCTGTCTATCCGGCAGAGCCTGGCTATCAACTTCAACATCCAGCAGGACTGTGGCCATTTCCTTGCTGAAGTGCCAGTTCGCCTCCTGCCGTGGGAGGATGATGACGCGCCGGACGTGGAAGAAGAGCGGGAAGAAGAGGAGAAAGAAGCTGAGCAGAAGAGCAGAGACGCTGCTTCCAGCCCCGAGGCCTCCCGCAGGGACAGCCCCAGCAGGCAGGGCACCACCAGCAAGCCCCGCAGCCGCGTGGTGGTGATCACACGGGAGGTCCCGCAGCTGACGGTGGCCGACTTCGTGCGGGAGTCCGCGCCCCGCCACAGCAAGAGCCCCGACCTGTATGAGAGACAGGTCTGCCTGCTGCTCCTGCAGCTGTGCCTGGGCCTCGAGCACCTGAAGCCCTACCACATCACACACTGTGACCTGCGCTTGGAGAACCTGCTGTTGGTTCACTCCAGACCGGGAGGAAGCGCCCTGAGCCCCGAGGCCACAGAACCCAATCCCAACACTGCCTGCCCGGCCAGATTAATTGTGAGCAACTTCTCCCAGGCCAAGCAGAAGAGTCATATGGTGGATCCTGAGGTCCTGCGGGATCAGTCCCGCCTGGCTCCAGAAATCATCACTGCAACACAGTACAAGAAGTGTGATGAGTTCCAGACTGGCATCCTCATCTATGAAATGCTGCACTTACCCAACCCCTTTGATGAGAATCCAGAGCTGAAAGAGAAAGAATACACTTGTGCTGATCTGCCCAAGATACCTTGCCGTTCCCTCTACTCTCAAGGGCTTCAACAACTTGCCAGCTGCCTGCTGAATCCCAACCCTTCAGAGAGGATCTTGATATCAGAAGCCAAAGGAATCCTTCAGTGTTTGCTTTGGGGTCCACGTGAGGACTTGTTCCATGCTCTCAGTACATCTTCCAACCCCTCACGGAGAGATGCTATACTTCAGAACTGGCTCGATATAAAAAGGACGCTGCTGATGATCAAGTTTGCAGAGAAGTCCTTGGAGAGGGACTGTGGAATTATTCTGGAAGACTGGCTTTGTTGTCAGTATCTGGCTTTTGCCACTACAGACTCACTTCATCGCATTGTGAGACTCATGAAGCAGCACTAGTTGTAGAGCCTGTTGCTTTTTGTGAAGCATCCCCACCTCTGCCCCAGCCCTCACTCCAGCCTGCACTAGGGCTCACACTTTGTACAATTGTTACAAAACAGCCTAGACATTGAAACCAGTGACTCTGAGCAAATAGGTTCTAATTGGAGAAATTGCATCCTGTACCAAGTATGACAGAAACTTTACTTTTTTGCCAGCCCTGCTAGGGATTGATCACATACATGACTGCATTTGGATCAGTATGTAACTTGATTCGTATCTGGCTGAAAAGGAGAGCAAGCTTTGATACCACTATTTCTACCACTGCAGTAAACCAATTGCCCTCCTCTTCTGGGTCATAATTTCCTACGTAGCATTGGTTAGTGAATAGCAGTGACCATAAGCAGAGATGGATTAGTGGTGAATGTGAGATGAATTATCCACCATGCCACAAAACAATCATTTGCTTTCACTCCACATACCACACATTTCCTCTCAGCTTAGTCAGTCCCCCACAAGCAGGCTGTGCTCCCCTTTCCTTTGGTCTCAACCAAACAGGTTCTGATCTTTCTCTTACACTTTACACCACCTGTACTTTCCCCCCCAGATGCGGTTTTCCCACTGACCATGGCAAGTGTCAGTGAGCAGTAAACACCTGTGTTCAATCCTCTTCCCTCCTCCTCTGCCTCACTGCCTACCCATATCCTTTCTAACCATGGATCCACGATTTCGTCAATGCTGCCTTAATCACACCATTACCCTTAGCTTGAGACCTGTGCATTAAAAAGCAGAATATGCACATTTTATCTATCCTATTTCCTAGGCAACTTTCACCAGTCTGGACTGTTGATGTACTGTAGCCATAACTACATTTATACAAGAACAATACAACACATGGTGGACCATTGAAATTCCCCTTCCATTGCAAAAAGCGCTAAAGCTTGACTTGAAATGGGTGGGACGTACATAACCTTCTCTGACAATCACTGCTATGAATCAGGGATGAAAATAAAAGCCACCTCTTCTGTTTTGTTTTGGTCTGCTCTTGTCACTTATGCCATACTGCAAAGTGAGACTGAAATTGGCTTTGCAGGTTTGTTGGCAGGAGATAGAAATGTTTAGAGCTTGTCTGTAGCTAACAGGCAACATGGAGATACTTTTACTGTGGGCACAGTTCTCTGAAGGGGAAAAACAAGGGGGCAAAAACACTTGTTTCATTATTGAGGGAGCTGTTTAGTTTGGCAGCCACAATGAACAGCATCATGATCCACACTTCCTGCAGAAGTGCTTGGCTGCTGATCTCTTGCCTGTTGTAACCAGTGTTTTCTAATGTTGCTATAGACAACACCCTAAAAATGGAATGTTGTCAGAAGAGCTCAAAAGCATCACAGACAGAGCTTTGGACTAGAGCAGGAAACAGTGAGGATTGAACAGTCAGAATTTTTAAAACCTCAACTTGAAGGAGCTTTTTTACTTTTAGAGGCCACTGCTGACTTCCTTCTGTGCCCTAACAGCCATTTCCCATGGAACCTCTGTACAGACAATGTCTTTGCTCATATTGGTAGGCTAGGAGTTGTTTCCGAATTTACTCTGAAGAATGGATCTGGATGCAGAGGGAAAAGCGATCCTGAATACTCTGACCTGGGTGATGGAAAGCAGACAGCCATAGTTATGAGCCTGTGCTTCTCTCCTATGGATCTATGTGCAATTCTTGTATTATTTTTTAAAGCTGTACATTACAGTGTTCACTTTACACACCAGCCTTTACCTGATGCTAGATCTGCAGCCCCTTCCTTTACTTTCCTGGCACATAAATGCACAGATATCCATGTGTTCTTTTTATGGATTGATGTTCCATTTTAATTGTTGAAACTGTGAGGAATCAATTCCCTTCAGCCTTGAAACAAATAGCCACTTTATACAACATATGCATTCTTGGACCACATGCATGGAAACTGAACAGTCCTGCAGGCTTAAAGTCAGCAAGAGTAGCTCTGGATCCACGCCATACATCGAGGGGTTGACGTGTCTGTGGTGTTCCTCTGGCATCTCTCAGAGCTCAGCTGAATGGCGTGTGGAAGCCTACATTGATTGTGCCGTAGTATAGACTGTCTTCGTTACCTTTCTAAAGATTTTTTTGAAACTTCTGATTATTCTTTTGTTTGATTCACCTGTATCAGTGAAGGATCAGGCAAGGATAAGGGTAATATATTTTAATGTGATTTATATGTTTTTCTTTCTCTTTTTGGCAAGAAGGTTAGGATGGTGGCATTGATGCAGAAAAACAGGACAGTGCATTAAAAGCCCAAGTGCAATGTATGTAATTGAAGTATTTCCTCTACATCAGGAAAGAAAGTTTCTGCACTACTGCTGAGCAGCTTGTAGAAGAACCTTTACAAAGAATCTCCTGTTCAGTGCAGCCCTGCTTTGTCTGGACCCAGGAGGGCAATGCTCCCATAGTTCACATACACCAAGCATGGCAAGTCACTTGTGTACTACCTACTAGCTATTAGTGACAGTGTGCTGAGCTGCCAGTGGGGCTTCTCGTTCTCCGTGGTCTGGTTTTGTGTTTGTTCTGTGGTGTGTGTGTGCACCTGACTTTCCAGCTAGCTCACATAGGCATAGGAGTAACTCTTGGACCACTTGGCATTGCAGTGGGGCGATCCCTTGAAGCCTCTGGGTGTTCCCATGTCCCACTGTCACTTTGATGTCAACACGCACATGCAAAGTTGGATTTTGAATGTTGTACAACTGTACATATTAATGCAGCTGGTCCAACGCCTTTGTATCTCTAGCTATCTAACTTCAGTTTGTATCTTTTGTGAGGAACCAATACTCATTTTAGCTCTGCAGTATAATCAAGCATGGATAGATGTTCACTACCAACCTCTTTCTTGTGCAGCACTGGGTAAACTTTAGCAATTTGTAATGTTGTGTGGTTTTTTCCTTTAAAAAGAAAGAATGGCCAAGGTAATTGAACCTGATCTGGCCTGAGTTCTTCCTTGAGGAGCTTGAGGCTGACTTTGCCGATCTGCCCATAACTGACGATTGCAACTGTGTTTGTGGTGGTTCTCCATCCTGGCACCAGATTGTGCCACCTAAGTACACAAGAATGTATGCATTAAACTGATTGTAAACAAATCCTAAGAATGCTACAGCATAATTGCTAAGCAAAAGGAAAAAAACCCGCTCTGTTTGTAACAGGATCCTGTGTATGGCAGGAACAAAACCCCTGGCTGTGCATGTTAGAACATACTTGAATATGTGCACAGATCTTGAATTTTTTTTTTTTTTTAGCAATGTCGCACTTTCAGTTGAGCTCAAGAAATGGGAAGAGCTGCAAATCTAAGATAACAGTATTGACTGTAAATATATATTTTTCTATTAATAAAAGCTGTCATTCAAATATTTTTAACATAAACTCTAAAGATTTTTCCAGTGCAAACTAATTTCTGGAAAAATCAAATGCTTATTTGAAGAAATATGATGAATGGTTTCTGATCCTTTTAGAGCCATGCAAACCCTCTCTAATATTACAGAGAGAGCACAGTGATTGGATTCACAATGTTTAGTGCCTTTCAAAAACCTGAAATGTAGCTGGTCAGTTGGTGGAAATCTTATTATTTTCATAACAGCCCTAGAAATAATACTGCCCATGTAAAGATGCAAAGGACTTTACAAAATTAAATGCTGTACTTTGTATGATACTGGGTTGATCTATTCCATAAGATTTGTGTGAATGGGTTCCTCTAAGTTGCTTGTAGTACAGCATAAGCCTGAAGTAACAAAACTGGGCTTTCAAATTTGGGATCTGGAACAGGGAGCATACCAGTGGATACCAAGTCCGTTGTTCCAGCCTGACCAGGCATCAGGAGAAGCCTCTTGCTGCGACAATCTGCTGCAGACTCGGTGCTGGTCTGGGGGCAGCGGGAGGGGAACGAGCTGCTCCTGCGGGAGGGGTGGAGGTGCTGCACACCCAGCCCTGGGCCGGGGTGGGAAACGCGAGCCTCTGTTCAAACAGCAGTGCTACAAGAACTGCTCCTGACATGATATGGAAAGTGGGTTAGTTTTGTATTTCTTAAATGGAAATTACTTATTACTAATTATCTGTAAAACCTCAGATCTGATCCAGTCAATATGCAAAACCAGGTGAGTGTAAAGAGGCTCTACTGGTAAAAGCTTGCCTACAAATTTTTAGGAATGAGGGAATCCAGAATTTTCTTCTGGAGCCCCTGAAATGTCCAAATACAGTATTCAGTATTCAGACTGATGAAATCAGTAACCCCAGCCAGGATACCATGTTGCTGCCCCACAGAGAAGAGTGCAGGTAGCATTTACAAAAATATTCCACCTTAAATCTTTTATGCTCCACACATCCTATCCACAAAGTATGAATGGATCATCTTGACATGTTAATACAAGAGAATTCCTATATATTGTAGAGAAAAAAATATTATTTAAATTAAATATGTGTGTTAGGGTTCAGCTACCTGCAGAATTTATTCAGCAGCTTCATACTGTAGATCCTTAATTTTAACATTTATTTGCTGCTGAAATAAAATGTATCTGTTTCTGAATTCTTGTGCTGAGATTCCCATCTAAATTAATTTCTTTTGTTTGTAATAACAAATCCTTATGTAAATATAAAATAAATTATCCTGGTTTTATTTAAATCAGTTTTAAGTTTTCTGAGGGATACAATAGAAACTGAGTCAGACCTTTTAATGCACTTTCTTTTCCCCCTTTCTCTGAATTGACTGTTTCTCAATACAAACAGTACTTAACTGCATGACTAGACCATCAATTGTACTCTGATTTTGCAGAGGTGGTGTTGGTTCTGCTAAAACTCCTGTAAGACCTGGAGCACAATCAAAGCCCATCAGCCAGTACAGAGAAAGATGTGATTGTGATTTAGTTATGCAGTAAGATAACATCAAGGAAGTTAAGAACAGAATTTTAAATACCTCTATAAAAATACACCTGTGGAAATATTCTGTAAACAATCATGTGGATTTCAAAGACTTCAAGTGAAGAATACACAAAAAATACTTTTCAGAACACTGGGGAGAAATTTCATAAGGGCACCCTCAACTCCAAAAGGAGAAAGCCTTTTTCCCTGCTGTGTTGCAGAGAATTTCTGGTAGACATTTGTCTGGATTTTCTTACTCACCTGGATGCAGTATTAGAAGGATGGTGATTTTGAGTAGGTGTAGAATGTAATTTAAATAACTTCATGTAAGTCTCTTTGCATTGGTGCTCCACTCAGCATTTACCTGGAAACCACAGAATGCTTTCGGATCAAGCAGAGTTGCCAGTGAGAAATGAAATACTCAACTTACCTGTACATAAGCATTTTACCACTCTGCAGAATTTGAGAATTTGGTTTTTACTTCAGACTATAAAGATTTTTTTCCATAAATTTAAGGGGAAGATTTCAGGGATTTAGAAGAGGTTGGAGTTTTTTTTTTATATGGAAGAAATATTTGTTCATAAATACATATATACATACATATATATATATGAGTGCATGTGGGCATGTTTTAATATATATGTATGTATATGAATTTTTTATCCCAAAAGTATTCTTTGCCCCTTTTTGCTTGAAAAAATATATATATTATATATTGTATATATAATATATATTTTAAGAGTGTGTAAATTTTGATATAGTAATTTCATAAATAACACCTCTTCAAAAATGACTCAAAACTTCTGTTTCCTTGTCCTTTGGATTGTTGGTATTAGAAGGTTTTGCCGTTGAAATCCTTGGGTTTTTTCTTTTGAAATTTAATTATGCTGAGCATTTAAGAATATGTTCTTGTTTTTAATAAAAGGGGAAAATTTATTTTTAAATTGGGGATTCCAAAATCAGTGAACTTTTATAAATGGGATTTCTTTAAATGCCTTGAATAAGGGAATTTCTTTTAATTCTTTTTTCAGTTCCATTCTTGTGGGTAATTTGTATTTGGAATTTCTGGTTGCATTGCTTTATCTGGTGCTTCATATTGATATTTACACATTTTTATATAAGTAAGTATATAAACTTCAAGCCTTCCTTTGTGATCAGGGGCAGTTACACTCTGGTTTGCTGTGGTACTTTGCTGTGTACTCCGTGGCATTCATGTTACTGTGTAAATAAACTAGTTTTATTACACTCAAAATCAAACTTGTGGGTGCCTAATTTTTCTCCCTTCTTAGGTAATAGACAAAAACGTGTCTTTCTGAGGCAAATGCATGTGGCCAGTGCAGCAGAGGATTTTATTGCACCAGCAGCTGGGTTTGCAGCAGCAGTGCAGGTGTGGCAGTGCCCACTTGGGTGCGGAGCTGCCGGTGCTCTGGACACTGCCCCACCTCCCACCTCTGGCACAGCCTCACCATGGCTGGCACTGTTTCAGCTCCATCTGGACAAGTGGCAGCAATAGCCCGAAAATAAACTGGCCACCAGTGGCTGCTGCTGATTGAACCAGTGTCTTGTAAGGCCTGCTTGGAGAGAAGTGACTTGGCACATTCATGACAACAGCCACACTGGGGACAACCCTTGGCATGTAAGGAGCTGAGCCAAAGTTAGAAATTTCCCTAGAGTGGACAGGGTTTAAATGACCTGCTGTGAAGGAATAAAATTACTCTTAAGTCAAATTTTTAGATGCAGGGACAAAGTAGGAGGATGCCTCCAAGGCAGTCGTGTGCAGTGGAATTCATTGCGTCTCATCTGTTACCTTGAAGCATCCGACCTGATGGAGGGTCTGTGGGAAACAGATGGGATAATGTGCATCTTCCACAGTCGTGCAGACACACTTGAGTGGCACCGAGCTCAAACAGCTCAATTTTGTACCCACATTTGACAGGCAGCAATGGTAGCGGCAGATACTGATTTATTAGTGTAGAACAGATGACACCATATATGTCGGAGCAGCACCGTGCCTCTGCATGACAATCAAACTGCTCACAAACTCTTGAAAGAAAAATAAAACCCAAAAAACCAGCCTGCAGGCTCTATTCTCCCCACAGTCACAGTGGTTTTGTAGGATTTGTAGGACGTAGGATTTTCCAGGACGGTTTGGGTGGATACAGACGAGAGATCTCTGCTGAATGCTCTTGGAGGATAAGGTTTATTTGGGATGGAGAGAGGCCCTGCCTCAAACTGCGAGACACAGCACGTGGCCGGGCCTGAGGTGATGGGGGAGGGAGAGACAAAGGGAAGAACAGGGACTCCAGGAGGGGGAATCCAGGAGGAGGGAGGAAGTTCCAGGAGGGAAGGGGAAGATCCAAGAGGGCGTCTGGCCCTTCAGGAGCCCCTTATCAGGGGGGGCTCCAGGGTGGGCTGGAACAGGACCTGGGTCAATGGGGTCACAGGCACCTGATGGTTCAGGGGAGGGTTACAGGTGTGGGGTGAACCATACATTCTGGGGGGTGAGATGGAACAGTCCCTTTGGCTTTTGGACCCCTCTGTAGGTGAGGGTATTGTCCAGCCAGTAGGGGACATGATATTCATCCTGACTGTACTATTGTGGTTCTTCTGCTAGACAATCATATTTATCTATCCTTCCCAACAGTTTTGTACAGGGATGTCATCGTTTCAATGATCAGAATTAGTTGAAGTGTAACTACTACCTGCCCTTCACATTTATTCCTCAGACACTGTATGAATGCCTTTCAAAAACAGTTTAAGCTATTGTCCTCATCCTTTTGAAAGTACAAAGCTAGCTGACTCCAAAGGTGTCACACATAAATCCACAACAAGTTTAACAGCCTGACAGATACTTTGGCTTTGCCAGAGTAATCCCTGTTCACTTCAACAAAGTGCCATGGACTTCAGCTAAACAGAGTTCGATTATGCCATTTATGTCAGTGGCAATCACTCTGCAGGGAAAAGATATGCAGAAATAGACTGAACCCTTGTCAAGACATGATAATTATACTAGTTTAACTAAAACCTGTTTGAAATTAATTTAGTTCTGTTAGTGCAAACTCTCTTGTGGGTGTCCTTAAGCAGTTGCAGTCTGGCGTTCTCATTTCAGCTTTTGCCAGACATGAACACAAGTGGAACAGATGCCTGGTTTCAGTTGATGCAAAAATGTCTGTATCAGATTTTTCCCCAGCTCAGAAACTCACCCAATAGTAGAGCTATGGCAAACCTTTCCTTTGTGGAAAGCCTCCCTGCATCACTTGAGCTCTGCAGGCTGCTGCTTTTGCCCATTATTGAGCTCCTGTGGTGCCCCACAGGAATCCCACCGTCCTCTTTACCCAGAGGTGCTTTTAACCAGGCTCAGTGGAAGCAGTTCCCAAGGCAAACTGCTCTGCAGAGAGAGGCTGCAGTTTCAATTCTGAGCTAAGAAGCTCTGTGGAGAAGGATACGCAGTAAAAGTGTTGTGCCCTCAAATCTGCTGCACTTGGTGCTGCTGCTGCTGCTGCTGTCTCAGGAGGCAGCACTAGAGCCTGGTGGTTAGCCCACCCCAATGGAAGATGGGGGCAGGATCCTTGCCATCAGTTCAGTGCTTCCAGATGAGCAAAAAGTCATCATTGTCTGGCAAACAGATGCCAGGGGAGTCACTGGGAAAGCAGTTCAGAGGCTCTGAAGCTGATCTGCTTGTCTAAAATCACAGAACAAGTAATAGCCACCAAAGGTGCATTTTCTATTACATCTCCTGTTCTCACCCTTTGTTTTGTTGTTATTAGAGTGTTATTTTTGTTACATTGCAGCTGGCAGACTCAGGACATGCATAGAAGGAAGCACTGGGAGTAACGGGCAATAATTTAAGGTAAAATCACAAAACCCTATTTCTTATCCTCTGAAAAGAGAAGGATCAGAAATAGGGAGGTTTCTTGCTCAGGTCTTTACCTGTCTGCTCCTGTCGGTAGCAGGGGTACCAGCAGAGCCACAGAAAGCTCCTTTCTCCACTGCTGCCTGATGTTTTACAGGTGCTGGGAGGAGCCCATGCTCCCCTGCACAGCACAGCGAGGCAGGACAGCCCCAGGGACAGAACTTGGCAGTGTGCTGTGGGGCTGAGGGGCACTTACACATCTCATGTCACATGCCAGGTTTTGCCTGATTTCACTGGAGTCTTAATGGTCCAGATAAACTGCAGTGAACAGCAGATTACCCTTAAAAAACCATGAAATCCCTGCAGTGTATATACAAGAAGCAAGCTATTAACTTTGCACCTCTCCAAAGTGCAGAAGGACATAAATGTTCTTGTAAAGAAAATGAAGAATTAAATCAAGGTAATAAAATTCTCCTGGTTTCTACATGGGCACTAAATTTGAATCAAGTTACTGTTGGAAATGGGCCAGTAGTCTGCCCATGTACACCACTGCAACCGTCAAAAGAAGAGGAACGTCCCATAACCTGTGAGCCACTCATGCAGCTTCTCTTGGCCAGGGAAGAAAGTCTCCTTTGAAACTTCTTTCCATTTACATTACCGGGAAAAAAAAGTTTTATGCTCTACTATATTAGTCCTTCATCTTACGTATTGTGTTCATACAGGAGTTATTGCTAAAGCTGCAATCACAGGACACCAGGTGTGCTTCAGCTTCAAACAAGAAAGTCAGAAGAGGTTGTCAGATACTACATGACAATGTTTTAATGGCATTAGTTACAAATGTTTAAACCATCCAGACACAGAGCTTCACCATCCCTGGCCCTTTTGCAGCAGTGAACTGTTCATTTCCCTGAGGCATGAAGCATTTCTCCCTGTACCTTGAAGCCTCAACATCTTCTTCCACAGAAACTGCAGCACACGGTCCTGATCTTTTCCATGAGTGAGATCTTTTTTGTTGTAAGTTTTAGAGGTGATTCAGCTCAGACTGAGGGGCTAGGAGTAAGGGTGTCAGCATTCTGTAGAAATGGCAGAACGTATTTCATCTACAGCCCATCACACCCTATTTGCTTGTGCTGGGCATACAATGTCCATGCCTAGAGTCATGACTTGAAATTCTGGACGTTCACATAAAAATATTTTGTTTACTTTTTTTTTAGGAATTAGTCTGTGTTCATCCAACTCAACATTCCCTTTGGTGTTTTTGTCTGTTTTTTTCCAAATAATTCAAATCCATCTGGAGTCTTTTACAATTTTCTGCAATTTATGCTAATCTTGAACAGATTTCACTTTGTGATTAATTATTTCTTCCTGCAAATCTGCCACTGGAAACATTGAGCTAAGACTAGTTCTTAGGCATATTTGTCTGTCTTCCCTAAAGAATCTGTACTTGTTACATTGGTTCTGTTCTGTCACAATAAAAAGGGTTTTCTTTTTCTTCACTCACCAGAAGTACAATAAAAATACAGTGTGAGTTTTGTGCTGATCCTAAAGCACTTTACAAGAAGAAATTAATTGCTATGCTACAGATCCAGGAACTGGTGAACAGCATGGCAAAGGAGTGTATAAAAAAGACACAGCAAGCCATTTGGGGGCAATAGTATGCAGGAATCCAGGGCCTATTCAACTAAACCATCTCCTACAGTATTTCTGTTTGCATCCTTTTCACCACTGATTCACAACTATCCATCATCATTTGACAGCATCCTTCAATTAAATCTATTGCAGTATGATTTTTATAGACTTATCAATTTGTTTTGTCGATTTTAATAACAGTTGCTCGAACACAAAAGTAGCAAGATTACAGCCCCAAAAGAAAGGGGTTCAAAGCTATAGCACTGGAGTACCAGGTGAAGCTGCTCCACCAGCAGCTCCAGTACACATCTAGACTGAGAGTAGTGTCCTGTGTCACTTCACCATCCTCTTCTGTCTCCCAGGGAGGTGTCAATACCTCTGGTTTGCAGGAGACAACTCTGCTTTGGAGCAGCTTTCCCACTTGGACCAGCCTAATTCCCAGCCTTTCTTACAAAAATGACATTGGGAATGAGCCTCATTAACACAAAGAGAAGTCCAGTGGTCAACTGCCTTGGCACCCTCAGAAATGGGAGCACCAGTCACTGCATTTCTTAACTCCCAAATCTGCTGTGTTACTATGCTGATGACTTCAAGCAGTCTCTACTGGAAGCTTCAAAGGCCCTTGTGTGACAAGCACATCCAGTTCTTATCACTTCCAGAGGTCCCTTCTGAGATGGCATGACACCTTTCATCACCCATCAGTGTAAAATACACTGAACAGAGCCCCAGTGAACTTGGGCAGAGAGTCACAGCACGTTGGAAAATGTCAGTTCACCATATAAATCTCCCTTTTGCTATTGGGTAACTTGCAAACAGCAAATTGTCAAGGCTCTTTCTTCTGCTGTAGCCAAAAGGTGTCTCTGAAACAGCTTGGGATCCCTCGTGCTGTGCTGGGTACCCTTCCAATACTGCTGCACTAGAAAAATGCCATCTGCTGAGCAGAACACCATGGGCCCCACTGAGGCATCAGGAGCGGGGAGAGGGCGGGCAGGTAGGAAATAACAGTGCAAGTCTCCTTTAGAACTACTGGCTTGCTAGAAGGGCTGTCATTACAGCAGTATTGCCAATTTGACAGGAAAAGATAGTGGACACAAACTGCCTGCTTCAGATGCAGAGCCAAGACGGTGTTTGTAAGAAAATGAGAGCTGCAGCACTGTCCCCTCAAAGGAAGTCCCTGTCAGCATCTGTCAAGCACTGCAAGACTGGCAGTCCTGCCGCTGGCAGCTCTCAGTCTCCAGAGAACTGGGGACCTTGTGACAATCAGAGAACTGGCCAGGTGACTGGTGACTTCCCCACCAGTTGCTCTGGAGCAACTGCAGAGCTGCTCCACACTGCTCTGTGTACAGCCTGGATTGGGCTGTGCATCACAAGTTTTCTTGCCAGACTACACCGGCTTTCCCAACATCTCTCCTGTAAAAAGGCTTCTGGGCAGGCAAATGGTGCCTACCTACACTGAGAAAGAGAGGGTTGCAAATGGTGTAGCCAGAGTTCAGTGGAGCTGTGCCGGCCTAATAACTCTAAGCATCTAACCTCCAAATCCCATTAGTATGTTTAAATAAGTCTAAGGGGGAAAGATGTCAGATTTACCACAGACCTGACTCTGGAGTAGTCTCCCTGCTGGCTGAGCCTGTCGCCCATGGCTGACACCACTGACTGTGCATCTTAGAGGCTTGTACCAATAACAATCACCAGCAAAAATAACTTTTCCATAATACTTTCTTTAATGTTGCATGCCTTTGTATGGCTCTCTTCTCTTATCCCTCTTCCTCTTTTTATTTTTTTCTCCTTTGATTGTTTTCCAAATTTTCCCTGTTAGTTATTAACTACATGCCAACTCACTGTGTATTTAGTAATCAGATTATCTGCTAATACCTGCCTAAAGCAGTCACCATTCATTAAAAGAAAGAGTGGTCATTATGTTATTTTTAATATGAATTATTTAGGTCCTGAGGCTGAGATTGAATTAAAGGAGAGATCAAATTAATAAGGGATTGAATTAAATTTGAAACGTCTGACTGCAATATTTCCTATATCTCCAAACTGCCAGAAGACAGTGGTATGACTGTGAATTTATGTTATTTCATGAAAAAGTACAAACAGCTTGTTTTAACTGCATCTGAGAAGTGTGCCTTCCCATGGATATAGCTGGATAAGTGCTCAAAATCCGCAGCAATTTTGAAAGAGGATATAATGCAAAATATTTAATCAGAACATGAGCCACAAAATCTCTGCTAATTTCTTGTTTCACACAATGTAGACCAGATTTCCAGGCACTCTGTTCACCTACTGCCTCCCCCACAGACATGGGTGCACACCACCCCTGAAAGCAAAGCTCTAGGCCACCCTTTGGCTGCAGCAAATTTAATACATTGCTTCAGTTATTAAGATTGCTTTTGAATCATTTTATCTTTTCCACCCTGCCCAAAGTGTCATAATGAGGGCTATGATATGAAAGCACTTCGCTAGCTTCTAATTTGGATATATTTATTAGTTCTAAATAGCACAGGGAATGAAGATTTCAAGCTTGCTCTCTACAGGGAGCAATCCGTGGGCTCAGGACATTCTCTGAACTGAACTGAGCTCCTCAGTTTTAAAAGTGGTCTTTCTAATCCTGCTTCTTATCCTACTAATCATCAACAATCCCATTGCTATTCCTGCCCTGAGTCTGACTTCATCACAGCAGTACTGGTGTTGCTCTGCATTTCAGTCACTTAAGTGAGAATCTAAACTGCTTGTGAGAAATGCTTTAAGTGACTTGATTGATTGTTTATCTCCCAACCATAAGTGCTAATTACAGAGCTGACAAGATTGCTTTGTCTTTATTGCCATACTTCCATATAGAAATATAGAAAATTAAATTTTTATTATTTCAGTCAGTTCCCTTCATACTTTGATCCAGTGAGTGCAGAGGACAGATTATTCCTTCCAATGTGAGAGACTGCTTCACAGAAGCAGTAAGCCAATCAAGAGAAAAATCTTGGCAGATTTTGCAAGTTGTGACCTAATTCTATCCTTCACTGCATTTCCTCCTCTCTCCAAAACATCCAAAGTTCAAAACAGCTGCCCTTGTACAGAACAGTTCTTTTCTTTACCGAAATAGGTCGCTTTCAGAATAAAGGCTGTGACTGCACATGACCCTCTCAAACACAATCCAGAGTGCTTCCCCAGGCCATGCAGGGCTGGGCTCTGGGATGCTTCACATCTCTAGAAAAGGCATTCCTTGTGGGAAATGCAGCTGTGTTTTACATCCAAGACAGAATGGCTTTTCCCTGCTGATTTTAAAAATCAATTGCAATTACAGTCAGAATAAATGCCCATGCTCAGTGTGCAGATCCCCAGATTCCAGAGCCAGAGAATCCCCCCCCAGCCTATGGCAGATCCCTGCACAAGAAGGCTCCATTTGGGATGGAGACGTGCATTTTGCAAAGGTGCATCTTTCAGTCTGAGTGTAAATTAAGCAAGCTCCACGGCAGGCCACAGAGCTGTGCTGGCTCAGGACAGCTGAGCCCTGCTTGTGGTGTGCAAAGGAAAGATGGGAAAGGAGCAGCTGTAACATGTTCTTCTGTGGGTGCTGTTTATCAAATGGTGAAACAGCATGCCCACGAGCCTCAGAACATCTAAACTGTTTGGTGACAACTATAAAAATTCAGAAGTTAGAAGCTGCTCATAAAAAGGCAGCAGATCCCTGGCAAAGCTGCCATGTGGTGGGACCCACAGCTGAAGTACCGAGGTTCAGTGGCTAGACACCCTGCAGCCATTTGCCTCATAAATCCACACAAGTCCAGCACGGTCAGGACAGGCCTTATAAGTGTGTTTCAGAGGGACTGTTATTACAGCTGGAAATTTCCAAATCCAGTGTTTTGCTTCTCTTTTCACTCTGTTATATTGTTGGGTTTTTTTAATCTAACTGAATCAATAACAGTAGTGTAGCATGTTCTTCCTATTGCATATATATATAAATAAAATTTAAAGGCCTAAACTAATGTATGCCATGTCTTTCACTACAAAGAAGTTCCCACGGGATTAAACCAACAAAAAATTAAAATATGAGCTTTCAAATGATGAAATATGTATATCTTCAGTGGTTTACAGAGCTACTGGCTTCTGTATTTACAATAGGGTTCACCCTTATCATATTAAATCTCAGTATAAAGCTATATTTTAACATTCAGCAAGTCCTGTACCCTTCCAAAATATCCCCACAGCCTCCTTGCAGGGTTCACAGTCATGCAAGTTCATCAGAAAGCAAAGGTGTTTGGATGCTGTGGGGAGGAGATTTGAAGCAATGCAGTACCACTGTCAAATGTGTGATCTCTGACCCTCAACCTTCCCTTCCTGCTCAGTCACAGACACCTGTCTGCTCCAGCAGAACAGGGCATCAGCTAAACTGCTGGCCCTTCTCTTTCTCACATACAACACTGACTGGTGCTGTAACCAGCCCACTCTGCTAAATTATAAGAAACTGCTCTCTAAGGAATTAAGAAAGTTGCCACATGAAAAAAAAAAAAAGAGCCTTAGTAGCACATTTCATTTCTGAAGTATTTATGTGATTACTGCTGGAGGAAGCCCTTCATATGCTGTATCCAGACTGATCTTTTTGCTAAGTCCATGGGCTGAAAAAAAGGAGATATATTTTTTCAGTGGTAAAGTGATTCAGAAATCCACAGGTGCTGAGGTGATTTTCTGAGATATGTGGGATATAGAGGATTATGGGTTGAAACATGGCATTCAAGGCAATTACCTTGAGTTTAAGATTAAATAGAACTGTACTGAAACCTACAGTACTATGGTATAATGCAGTGGAGAATTAAGCTTCAAATCTTTATACTTACACTATGCTCTATGCTTACAGGAAAACTAAAACCTCTTGAAGTCCAACTGTTTCTGTAACAAGACTGCTCGACATCCATGTATCCACAAGTAGCTAAGGTACCTAAGAATGATGCTTACAACTGGATCATCCAGTTCACTGGTTTTGTGGAAATAAACAGCAACAACCACCACCCTCCACCACTCAGCCCACGGCCAAATGGCCAGGCAGACACCTTTCTCCTGGGTTTGTTCTGTAGCAGTGACTGGCATTCCCAGGACGCTGTGACAGAGAGGACAGACTGGAACAGCGGCAGCAGCAGTGAGAGGCACAGAGTGAGTGGATGTCTCAGGCAGGCAGGAAGAGGGGCAGCCAAGAGAGGCTGGCTGCCAGGCAGACACCTCTGTGCTTGCTGCCTGCTGGGCAGAAGGAAAGCCTGCCTCTGGAAAGGCGAGAGCACCAGCACACAAACCCTCCTGCTCCCTGCACAACAACAGCGACAGCAGCCAGGGCCTGGGCACAGGCATGAAAGCACCTTTGTGAGGAAGTTGTATCTGGCAGGGAGGACACAAGGAGCAGCTCTGCTCCTGGGGAACATCGACTGCCCCACTGTCTGCGATGTGCAAGGTATGTAAATCCCTGCCTTGGGATCCTCCTGTGCACGAGTCACCAGATGGTGCTCTACATACAGACTTGAAAGTTCTTTATCTTAATGTGGGAACTTCTATGGCCTCTGAGGAAATAACGATGTTATTTTTGTGAAGTCTTTCCTTTAAAGTTTAATTTACATCTTAGTCTTTTCATCTCAAATAGTTTTTTTTTTTGTTGGTTTTTTTTTTTTTTTTTTTTTTTTTTTTTTTGTTAAGCTTTTTTTGTTCTGTTTATTCAGAACAGCTTTGGTGCTGTGATTTTTGAGACAGAATGCACAGGCATGAGATTTCCATCCAGGTCTGCTGAAAATATGGGAGTAAAATACAAGCTGCAATAAGAAAATATTTAGACATATAATGTTTACATTACTTATTTTGCCTGCAATGGGAAATAAATATACAGAATCTTCTGCATCACAGTGGATATGACATCACAGAAGCAGCACCATGTAAGAAAAGAAATCTGAGGATGTGGTGAGGATTAAATAGTAGGTAGAAGGCTTTTCAGATTAAAATAGCTACATCATAGTAGAACATTCTTATCTTCTAGAAATATAATGTCAAGTGTATCCAAACCCTACTCATCTTCCCTCTGAAATCCTACACCCATCCTGCTTCAACTAATAGTTTTCAGACAATTAACAGAAATACTGAGAATATGGATGCCTCTTTTTCTTTTTCATCACCTCTTAAAAGAGGATTTATCTCATTAAAGTATCTATTAGGAGTCACGAGCACTACGACGCTGAAGATAAGGAAAACAGCAATTTATTAGAGCACGCATTTGATTTTATCCGTGAAATGCTGGGAACCTCCCAGGAGATGGCAGCAAATGGCACTCCGGGGGTAGGAGCCTCGGGGCGAGCCTGCGAGATGCTCAAACCAGCGCCCGACTCCCAATTACACGGGGCTTATCTTCTACCCAGCACGAACTCAACTCATTAGTTTTGTTCTTTGCCGAGCAGCAGAGAGAACAAAGCCACATGAGACTTTCACAATGTTGCACTCAATCGGTGTGTAACGTTGTAAAAACATAGTAGCACTTTAAAGTAACTTGTCATTTTCATAAAATTTATAATTACTCGAATCATTTATTTCCCTCCATGAATGCTATTAAAAATAGTTTCACGGGGAGTACAATTTGTTATGAAATGAAGGTCAATCTCATTAGATCAGTGTAGCAGGGATCCTAATAACATCCTGGCAGAAACGAGGTATCTCATTACAGACGCTGTATTTTGTTTGAAATATTAGGTCGTCATTAACTGAGCACTAAAATACACATAACATTGGATGACATAAATTATTCCCCTGAAAAACTGCCACACAGTTTTTACCACAGAGGTGGTAGAACAACGATGAGGGTACAACACAAAGCTTAATATTTTCTATCTTTTCTAGCTGGATTCACCTACTTAATATCAGTTTGGTTTGCTGCTGCTTCTGAGTACTGAGCCACAGTTGGGTTGCTAGAATTATACAGAGAGCTGGTTTCAGAGTATGACACTGCAAACTTCAATCAGTAAGAAAGATGTTTGATTTTCCTTGTAACAGTTGAGTAAGCCATCATCTAGGAAATGTCAAAATTTAAAAGGAAAAAAAAATTTTAAACGAGAGAGTCCAGAAGTAAACATTGCTTTTAGAAATACAAGAGGAGTTACTTTCCCTATAATTATCTTTACCCATTTGGAAAGTACCAATTGGTTTTTCTAGGCCTTTCATTTTACTGGAATCACAGCTGAAGGTATGGATGTGTTTAAATGCTTCTCTGGAGCTGTATCACAACACTTGGCACCTGGCAGGACCGTGCTGAGCATCTGCTCCATGCCAGTCAACAGCACCCAGAAAGGTATCGCAGATATCCATGGGAGGGAGCTCAGCAGTCACAGGAGCCTCACACCTCCATGGATCAACTGAAGGCTCCTAACACACCTGTGATACACAGCAGCAGCCTCAGGAAGCTCAGCAGTCACAGGAGCCCTGCTTTCCAGAAGCCTCACACCTCCATGGATCAACTAAAGGCTCCTAACACACCTGTGAGGCACAGCAGCAGCCTCAGGAAGCTCAACAGTCACAGGAGCCCTGCTTTCCAGAGGCTTCACCCCTCCATGGGTCAACTGAAGGCTCCTAACACACCTGTGAGGCACAGCAGCAGCTTCAGGAAACTGCGAGAAAAGCAGAAAAAAAGGTTATGCTGATTTCCTAGCACCATGAGGTGCATGGAAAGGGTCTCCATCCATGGAGTGCATCCTGTAACAGCAACACCCTCTTTTTCAGCAGAACAGGTTTAACTATGGGTACTCTGCAGAGGTTGTGGTTAGAAGGTGTGTACAAACACACACACTCAACCTGGAGCAGCTCACAGCAGCTACAGACGGCACTGAGACAACACTTTGGTAATGCTGTTTTGCAGAAGCAAAGGCAGCCCTGCTGGTTTGTGACTATAGCTTGGGTTTTTTTAAATTCACAACTGGAAGTTGGGATTAAAAAAAAAAAAATTTATCAAATTTCCAGATTAAAAAAATGCTAGTTAAAAGAATTAAATATTTTAGTTATATTTTCAGCTGCAGATTATGTAATGAACTCAGAGAGTGCTTAGAATCTGAGGCAGGAAGGCCCCACAACATCTTACAGACACACCATGTCCCTGTACCCCCCAAGCCATGTCCCCAGGGTGTGCCACTACATCACCAAAATGAAGTCCTACCCATCAAGTAACAGGGACACAAGGACAGGCATGTTGGATGGCAAGCCCATCCTGCAATGTTTTCACAGGAAACCTATTTTTTTTTTATTTTACTTTCTGCCTGTCACTGACTTACTATATTTACATCAGCTTTAAAATTTTCTTTTTCATATTTGCTTTAAAGTTTTCTTTGTGAAACACTTTCTTAGTAGGTAAAACACAAACATAAATAGCTACAGTGAGAGAATTGTGAATTGCTTGAAGAAGGTGCTGCAGAAGGGAAAGGCAATACAGGAATACAGGGCATGTACAAGAACAGGCACAGCACTGTCCAAAGAGCACAAAAGCTTACAGAAAATGACCTTAACCGCTGAATTTTGAACAAAAATCCAGCAAACAAACAGTAAATGGTGATCAGGTAAGGTGAAACACTTTAGGTTCTTGGAGGGTGAAGTCTCAAGAGCTTTTCTGCTGAAAGCAAATCAAAGTCCACACCTGCCCACTGTTCATTTCTGCCTATGCATGACCCTGGGAGATCGGCTGGTGCACTTTCTCCTGAGCACCATCCGGTGTACAGACTGGATAAAAATTCAGGTGAAAAATACAACCTTCTTTTGCCCGAGTTATTTTTTCCCCTACTCTGCTGCCTCCACTTGGTCTCCATGGTTACACAAATACTTCTAGTGGTACCTTTGCTACTGTCATGCAAAGAAGGGTTAGGCAGAAGGAGAAGCCAGCAGAGGGCTGCTGAAGCTGACACTGCTGCAGGAAGGGAAATCTCATCGCAGGATGCTCTGAGATTTCACAAGGCTTTCCTTCCCAGCAGGTCTGGTTAACAAAGTCCCACCCCAGTGCCCTCTTCAGTGCCCTCACTGTGTGTGGATAGAACAGTGTCACCCTCTCGTCACTGGAGAGGATGTAGGGCAGTGCAGACAGGAGGGTTTGGCCCTGCTGCCATGGGAAAAGCCATGGAACACAGAGGCCGTTTTCCAGGATACATATCCTGAAAACTGAGCTGACTGGAGCTGGCAGAGAACTCATGCAGAAAATGTAATGATGGGGGAGCAAAGAGGGAGAAGGTGCTATTTGTAGCTTGGTGTAAAAGACACCAAAGAACAGAATGGGCAGTGCCATGATTTCTCACCTTTTCTTACAGCATAAAATGGATCAACTCCATGGATTCAGCTCCTCTCCAGCATGAGAGTGGACTTGGAGGCCAATCTACACCTATTTATTAATAAAAACAATGCTAATGTACCTCCAGGGAAACTGCCCATGCCAGTGACATGTTTCTAAACAGAACTTCCCATCTTTTGTTTTTTGAACTATTAAATATCCTTTGAATCTATATGCAGAATTGTTTCAGAGTTTGTCTAACATCAGACTTTTAGCTCCAAATTGGTTTTTTGTGGTGCTTCTCAAATCTGAAAGGTCTCTCTCCAGCATGCCAACCCTTAGCATGATACAATGACTGCTAGCAAATAGAGAAATATATATAGAAAATATTAGAGCACACAAACATCCTTTATGTATTTGAACAAGGATATATTATTATATCAGCTCATTAAAGCTGTATTTAAAGGCAATGTATATAGGTTTTTATTACTAAAACTTATATTTCATGTAGGTTAAATCAGATGAAATAAATATAAAGAAAAGATAATGAACCAATATCAACCTATTTTTCCCCTTCCTCAGTCATGAAGAGTGCTCCTCATTCGTTTTGCATCCCTTCATTGCCAATAAAATAGACCTTGCTTCCAACATTTGACTATTACCATGAAGTCCACAGTGCTCAAGCCCATCAAAAAGTGAAGAAATGCGCAGAGTGACTCCTATGAGATCATTTACTCCCAGTGAAGAGCAATTAATGGATTGCAAGTCATGGTTGGCAGTCCTGGGAACCACAAAACCAGATGGGTGGGATCGAAGCGGTAAGAGATCTCTTCTGCTCCAGAGCAATGAAAGACTGGATTTCACCACTGCTGCCCTCCCTACTTTACACTGACAGTCCCATATCCCCCCTCTATCACCAGTGTATAATACTGTCATAGGGTGCTCTGATTTTCTAAGTGTACTTTGAAACACTGAAAATATTGACTGGGAGAATGTTTTTTAGGTAATCAGTCATTTTTACTATGCATCCTTCAGTGTTCATGGACCTTTCCAGGCTATTACACACTTCAAAGAAGCTTACGATTACCTCCTCAGGAGCTGGAGAAAAAGCATGAGATTATTCTCTACTACCTAATTCATTCAAATGGAGTTAACTAATTTTTATAACATTTTCTAAATTGTTTGTCCCAAAAGCAAGAACACACTTTTACTTTTGTAATGCATGCCTGCAAATGAAAATTACTTCTGCTGTGGAATTTTCTACAGGCCTTGCTAGATGACAGTCCAGACTCAACTGCACCGTTGCAAAGTGCACTGTGTCCACAGAATTTAACTCCTGGTGTTTAAAAATTCTGAGAGTTGAATTGGGCATAATTAATCTGGAGGTCAAATTACATCATTATTGTATTTTCTTGCACATTTGTCTCTGCTTTTCTGAGTCTGCAAAACAGCTTCTGCAGCCTCTGACCTTAACCAGGCAGCCAGCCAACCTGCCCAGTGTGTGCCACTGAGAGCCAGAGACGAGTCTTGGCGAGGTCACACAAGAGCATCTTGCTAACACCCCTCCTGCACTTGAGACCTTTGGGCCATTCTTGCCCTGCACCCTTCCCAGCCTTTGATCCTCTCCCTCTCTCAGAGGCTGTGGAAGTGCAGGATATTCTCGTACTCATTTCTGGTACATCTTTCTGAAAATCCTGCTATGATGACAGTCACAAGTGGTGAAATGCTGAATAAACATTCTCTGAGGAATTCTAAAGAGGTTTAAACTGTATTAAAAATGAAAGCATATTTTGGCAGTCAAGCTACCTGTCCACATCAAGAAAGGGGGAGATCTAAGCAACAAAGCTGTGCTGGAGACAGTTCAATCCAACTCAGTTAAGCCAGATACTGAAACTGCAGCCAGTGTTCACTGCTTGTTACAACCTGCTTTCCAGCAAGCCTTGCTGCCTGCTCTCCTGGGAATTGCCTTTCCCCACCTCGCTTCAGCAAGCCATCCACCCTTCTCCTCTCTGCAGGGAGCTAGAATTCCCTGCCTACATTCCCATGTAAGGAGGAGGGACAATTTCTGATGGCGTCTTACTATTCATCCATTTCCCCCCTAAATGTCACTTGGCTGGTGTGCCACGCTTGGCATGAGATGCCAGCACAGGCCCACACCTTATCCCACACAGAGTCTGTGGATTTGAAATCACAGACTGATGATACCCAAAAATTTTGCATGTGTTCTCCAAAGATCCAAGAGTATTTCCCTGCACAGGAGCCTGCAAAGAACCCACCCTGGCACCCACCAGCAGCCAGCCCTCTATGCATGAGAGCAGCAAGGCAGCACTGCAAAGAAGAATGCCAGGCACTGCTGTATTTATGTGTTTTTCAGGAGCCATGCTTAGAGGAACACTTGGCATTTATCTTTCAGGCAGTGTGAGTCCAGCCCACACAAACCCTGTGCCAACTGAAGGCATTGCAGTCTCCCCCCTCCTCCTCTCTCCCTGGTGTTCCCAGCGTGCAGACACCTGGAACCCCACCACAGCCCCTTGGCTCCCCTCCAAGCACCAAGTCCTGGCCCTTCCTGCCAGCTCTCAATGTCAAATGCAAAAAACAAACCTTAATAGTCTCTATTGAACACCAGCTCCTAGGAATCAATAAAAATTTATGTGATATATATCTATCTAATCTGTCTTTCTCTACCTGTGAAGGCAGAGGGAATTAATACAGAAAATCAGATAAGACTGTTAATTTCAACGTTGAAATTGTATAACAGCATTGTACTACAATCTTTCTGTGAGTTTTTAAATATCATTGATCCTTTCCCTATCAAATTCCTCTTTAAAAGCCTTTATTCTATCAACTTTTAATGGCTTTTTTTGATAGTATCGTCTATCTAGGCTTTTAAAAATACCATATGTCACAGGATTGTAATATAAAGCACATATAAACAGCACATAAAAAGCAGAAATTACAAGACAATCACACCCTAAAAGCCATAAATTCAGTGCAAAACCTCATTAATTGTGCAGCCAACTTTAAGCATATCTTCTGGGTATATAAATTAACTTTTAGTGTAAGAAAATGGTCTGATAACACTTGCGAGATTGGGAAGTTTCATCCATGAACATATAAGGACTTGAAATGAAAGCTGAAAAAAGACTTAGTGTCTCCATGGTACTCAGAACTGGGTCTGGATATAACTTCCCAAACTGTAGGAGGAAAAAGAACTAACTTTGCTACCATGGAAACAGAACAGTGCAGTATAACTGATTGTTACTTGTCTGCCTTTACAAGACAAATTGCTAAAATGTTAAGGCCTTCAATAACACGGGCAGTTTTGTTTCCACCTGAGAAGTTAACCTTCAGGAAAGGACCAAGAACAAACTCACCAAACAAGAGGGAGCAGCCCAGGAATGACAGGCATTCCTAGGAAAAGCAGGGGATTAGACAGAGAGGAAGATGGAGAAGGAAGATATCCTGGTGCATGAAGGAAGAGGGGAAGAAGGGTTTGGTTTGATTAGCAAGACGGGAAGAAAAGGCCCTTAAAATGAAGGACTGGATCCTGGCCGTGCTAAAATAAACTTTGTGTATAAATTGGGCAGCAAATCCTGGATTGGTGTTACCGCTTCTAGAAACCATGCACGTCTTTAATTCCTTATCTTACTTTTCCTTTGCTCTTCGCTGGAAAATGCCGCCCTCTTTGGATGCATCCAAAACACCCAAGAATTACCACCGCCTGCATTTTCCTGAGTTTCTGAGGTTCTGCAACATAAACCACAGACTGACTTTACTGGGAGCATTCCTTCTCCACACTAGCCACAGGCACAGGCTGTAAGAGGCTGGGTGTGTTCCCCTCACGGAACATCGGCTCTCCCCGCCCGCCGCCCCGCTCTCCTGGTGAGGGCACAGCCCCGCCATCAAACCTCCCCTCAGGGCCAAGCGGCGCCTTATTTCCCTCCGGAGCCGACGGTCTCTAGAGGATGTGACAGCTTTACGGTGCAGCTTTTTGAAGGGGCATGTGAACGTTCAGAGTTCGTCGGCACCTGTTTTAGGAGTGTGAGGTAGTCGGAAAATTATCGCTTCAGGTGCTGACCAAGAAGCGGAAGTTGTGCTTGTTATACTCTGCGGCCTGGGTTCCGAGGCTTGAGGGCAGCGCTGCCCTCCCCATCACACTCAAGCACCACCGGGACGGCCCGGGCGCGGCGCCCCCTGAGGGCGGGAGCGCTTTAAGGGGAGCCGTTCGCCATCTTAGGCGCCTCCGCCCCCTCGCGCCACGTGACGCCAGCGGCCGCCATCTTAGGCTGCCCGCGCGGCCCGGCGGTCACGTGCGCGGCGCTGAGGGAGCGGGGCCGGGCCGGGGCTCTGCGGCGCCATGGGGCAGTGCGGCATCACCTCCTCCAAGACCATCCTCGTCTTCCTCAACCTCATCTTCTGGGTGAGTCTGGCCGCGCCTCGCGAGAGACAGCGGCTCCGGGCTTCCAGCTCGGAGCCTGGCCCCGAGAGCGCTGCGGGCCTCGCTCAGGAGCCGGGAGCCTCCCCCCGCTACCGCCCCGCTACCGCTCCGCACGGGTTCAGTTCGTGTTTAAACTTTTCTGTTTAACGGGCCTTCTGAGCCCCTGCGAGCGCTGTGGGGGTCAGAGCTGGGCGCAGTCCCTTCCCTCGAGTCCACCTGCCGAGCTCCAGGGCGGGGGGAGCTGAACCTGGCATTGAATTTTTACGAGCATTGGGGTAGAGGCGGTTGTGTAAGCGCATACAGCTTTTCTTTCTCGCATTTTTGAGCTTCTCGGCTCTCTGGCAGTTGAATTTCTGTAGCCAGTTCGGTTTCTGTAGCGCTCTTGTGGCCGTCGCGGGGTTCGCTGTCCGCGGCGGGACGTCCCGGGCGCTCAGCGCTGTGTGGGCGCTGCCAGCACAGAATCGGGAGGGCATGGCTCTTCAGGGGTCTCTGCTTCGTGTGTTCCACCAGCCATTGTAGTGCTTATGCATCGCTGAAACTTCCCACGGCTACAGTGACAGTAAGACAAAAGCTTACAAAAGAGGGAGAGTAGGTTGCTGTAAATGACCTTTTTCAGGATGGATATACGGGCTCTAGCTTGGCATTGTAGTCACTGTAATAACTGCCTTGTCAGGACAGCGTAACTCTCAAATCGTATTAAAGATTGGTTTGTAGATTTTTAAGAATTCCCTTTGTGCATTTAGGTACTGCGTTTTTCCTGCTCTTATCCCAGCTCCAGGATCAGAATACCTGTTGTCCCAACTGTTTAGAGATTACATCTTTGAAAACGTAATAGTGGGTAACAAGCTGTTGTAACATAAAAGTGTAGCTATATGTAGCTGTTTCTTTTACTATTAAAAGTCATATGAAGTCTTACTAGCGTTACAGG